ACATTTCCTTCGCTCCCCCCCCCCCCTCCCCCCTGCCCTCGCTGCTATTTTGATAATAGTTGCTTTAGATCTTGGTACTAACCGGAAATCCTGCCAAACGTCCAGCCTTGGTCGACTTTGCCAATGCTATCGTCATGGGACGCTCGTTACTTACATGCGGATATGTGATACCTGTAAATAATTTTAAGCCCACCTTTTGCTCAACAGCCAAATTATTATTTCCAGTTCAAACCAAGTGGTCGCATCTACTTGATGACTGAGAAAGTTGATCGACAAATGAATGAATGGCTGCGGAATCATCACATCATTGCCTACCCGGCTGTAGTAGCCTCAGAAGACCAGGCCGAGGGAGCCGCTGCTTTATTGCAGGTTCAAAAAATTTGTTAGCTTCTGTTTCTTCTCTTCAATACGAAAAAATCACTTATAGGCAACTGGTGTAGGAAAGCTCCGACCAAACATCCTCATGCTTGGCTTTAAAACTAATTGGGAGCAAAGTCCAACCACTGATATGCATGCAATCAATACTTTTTATGAAATAATTTTGTGAGTTTTGGCTACTACCGATACTTGGATAGTTTGGATAGTGCACCTCTACAAGGAAAATATTGTTAAGCTGGAATTTCCCGCTCAAGCAGCAGTTTAAGTGTTCATTCGTAAAAACTCTCTCTCAGTACCGTATTCGCAGACGCGGCTCCGCCTGAGTACGGTATTAGGCGAGAATTTACGAGAACTTCTCGGTCATGAATAAGTTAAAGGAGGTGTAGCTAAGTTGGCTTGTTTGCCTCATACTTACCGTGTGAGAAACTCAGTATCCAAAATTGCCTGGGGATAATTTAATGAGCTTATGAAATCTCTTTCCAGAAATGCTTTCGAGAAAAATGTGGGAGTTGCAATATTCCGTAACTCCAACGTCGGATTTGATTTGACAAAACGACTCACTGGAAAGGAAACTATTGAAAATGAAGCCGATGACAATGGCATCGATCTAGATCCCTAGTAAGTACTTGGAAGCATAAGTGTACTGTGAGGCAGTATCGGTTTTTTCCTATTTTTAGTCAACAGAATGCAACTCAAACAAGTCAAAATTCTTCCGTGAAAGAATCCAAAGGTATTCTTGCAGTAATAATACCAAAACAAAGTACTAAACTATTACAGTGGGGAACCTCTTGCGAGAAGTGAGCTCGTTTGTGCGAATGAACCATACTCACAAAACAGAGGTGAGTGTTTCATTTTGGAAAGGTTTTTCATACCCTAGTATAGAACTGACGGTTGAGATAGTTGCTATAGAAAGCGGCAACACTTGCGCGTACAAAATTCTGCTACACCGCACACTCCCAGGTTTTTCGTCCTTTGCCATTTTTTGACGCGCAACTGCTGTCGGCACCGTAGGGATGCTGCATTAGCCGTCACCTGCTACACCGTGATTCCGTAGGGTAGCGTACGATATGCTACAAATGTGTGCAGTACGAGTCCCTTGTAAGTAAGCAAGTCAAACTGATAATTTTAGGCTCCAAACGCAAATAGCGAGAACAATCAATCAACAAATCGATTCCAGTTGGTATCAAAACACAGGTTATTCAAACTTTTACAGTTGGCAAGCGAAAGGAAAGCTATAATTTTCCTTTTTTTCAGCATAAAAGACGTCCGTGAAGTTGAACTATTACAACAGCTGCAACGATTTCGAACAAAAGTACCTAAGGGTTCCATAGGTAATTATTTACTTCACAACAATTTACGCGGATAAGGCAGCCAGTGCTGATTTCTGAAAATTTGAAACACACTATGTTATATGAATGCACTTCAGATATATGGTGGTTGAAGGACGATGGTGGTTTGACCTTACTGCTGCCCTACCTACTTCAACTACCCGGAGCGTATCTTGAGGTAGGTGTTGTCATATTCCGTCCATTTACGTGAAAATCATGAAGCGAAAACTGGTCCTTTGACCGCAGCGCATCATAGCCACGCCCAGCAAGCTTCTCAGAACAGACTATGTAGACAATGCTTCTTTCAGGGCGCTCACCTACGCGTTTTCGTTCCTGCAGGAAAACGAGATAGTGTCAATGATGATCAAAGGCAAATGGCTACTCTGATGCAAAAATTCAGGATAGCTGCAAGTGACGTGCATGTAATCAACACATTTGCACGGCCGCCGAGCAAAGAAACGTAAATTTTTAAAAACTTATAAATGTTAATTTTTACAATGAAACGTTGCAGAATGGAAGAATTTAATCGATACGTTAACATCTTCAAAGAGGATTACAATGGACAAAAAGGACTAATCACTGAGGTAATGATTTCAACAACTAGAGATTTTTCAGCACTATGTCGCCATGCATAACATGCATGAACATCGAAAAATGCCCAAGAAAAATTTGGATATTTGAACTTATTTGCACACTAGAGAGACCTTACAATTAGTTGACGCTTCGCCCAAATGGCAGCTGATATGACTCGTAAGTGCCCAAAAAATCCATCTCTGAAGTCTGACCCATACCGTACTCTAAACCGTAATTGAGAACTTCTGACTGATCCACTCGAAAAGAGTGCAAGCTGGCCAAACTGAAGCTAAATTTCTCCTCTAGTGAATATTATGAAGTCTAGTTGGGACAATGACCGAGACAACAAGTTTTCAAGGGCAGGTAATCAGGCTCTCTTGCAGGACGAACTGCAGAATTTCCGAAGCAAAACCAATCGCTACCTCAGGAAAGCAGAGTTACTTCGAGAAAATAGTCAAGGAGCAGATCTTGTCATAGTGTACGTTATCCACCTTTATATTAGACCATGTGAAATTTTTACAATAAACTTCAGGACCCTCCCCATTCCTCGACGAACAGATATGTCGTCAGCTTTGTACATGTCATGGTTGGAAGTGATAAGTCGAAACATGCCGCCGACACTATTTGTACGCGGAAACCGTACATCAGTGTTAAGCTATTTCGATTAATTTGTACATAAATATTTTACATTTTGTCAATCGCACTGTATTTTGTGAAACAGGTTCTAAAATGTATATCACTTGCTTCTTTATAGCATGACACTGAGTCCTCTTGAAATTATGCGCATTTTGCATAAACATTCCGATTCCTTTTCTCAAGTTTACTTCACCATGCTTACAATGTGCGTTTACCCAAAATGAAAATAGTAATCTCTACTCTGCATCTGTCTAAATTCCAGCAAAAAAAATTTCAAAGAACAATAACGACAGTACGCAAAAATCACATACGGCTAAGTCACATGTTGACAGTTTCATCAAAATACACGACAACCTCAGCATTGGAGAATACCTGAACGGCTGCTTGCATAGTCAGGAAAAGACCAGCACAGCTTACTGTTGTCTGTCAAAGAGATCGATGGAAGTAGGAAGAAAATCTTTGTCTCATCATTTCCTGGTCTGTGCTGCAGCCTCTTTCCTTGATGCATCTTGGAGCAGTTGTGTATCCACTCTATCGGCGGGAAGCTGGACGTATCTGAAACGTAGTTCCTTACATGGTTGCAGCTTGTTTTGAACGTGAATAGAAAGATTTCTGGTGTTAAGCCATTCAACGAAAACCAATGACTGGGACGGATACCGCTAAGCTTTGCTCAAGGGTTATTCAGCTCGAGACCAAAACCATGAACTTCGGAAAACTTTTTTCGGGTTGGCTACGACATGTACACATGGTACACATCACACATCTTATTGAAGATCCAGACTTAGCAAGCTAATCATTATCACAATGATCTTGCCCGGCAGAGCCATTTTTTGAGGTTACGGTAGATATACGATAAATAAACTCTAAAATTCGCTCAATGAGCTTCGTGGGTCTTCAGCGTACTGCTTACGTGTTATATGGGAGCGTCCGAAAGCCTTTTTACTAGGCTGTTGCATAAGTTCTGTCCGATTTGAATTTTTGAGTTTAAAATGTCATAACTTCTTTCAGAGTCAACTTTTTTCCAAGGTCTTAGTTTCTTTGTGTTGAGCAGTCCCTTGGCTAAAAAATGCATATTGAGATCTGCGCAAATCTTTGTTAAGGAAGAACCAAGAATGCAAAAACTTCGCAGCGTTTTTCTTCGAATCTGTCTTTTTTGACATGGTAACGCTCCCTTATGAAAATTGATAGGCATCTTTTCTAATAATGGATGGATAGAGAAATTTTCGTAGATTATTATGCAACATAAAAGAGCCCATAGGGTTTGCGCTGCCGAGAGATTTTCTTGACCGAACAAAAAATTAGCCACTTTTTGACCTCGCTTCAGCACATGTGTGCATGCCTATTTATGAACTACGAACGTTTTACAACTGACGTGAGCGCCGAAAAGGAATTGGTGGATGGGCCCTGTTAGCTCTTGCTTTGCCCTAGCACCTCCAACTTTGAGCTTGTCGATTACTTCTATTCGCAGAAAGTTATTGCTTGTAGAACATCTATACCAAAGATTTATGTTCGAGGATAAATTTCACTAGCAAGACGTATTCTTCATGGGACCGAACTTCTGCATATACTAGCATTCCATACCCTTATTCCGAAGCCAATGAAAGAATCTGACTTGAAGGGCGCATTGTGGAGATATCCTCGCAAGGACATATTTCTAGGGATAGAACGTACCTCGGCCACTTAGAGATTTTAGGCCTGTGATCTCCGTACACTAAGAATTTTATTGAATTCTGGTATGCTTTAGAAAGCGCAAGGAAAGCACTTTTCAATGATACCAACCGTATCGAATTAGAGATGAAATTCTCTTAGAACAGCCGCTTCAAACATGAGGCAAAAAAATCGGACAGAACTTATGCAACAGCCTAGTACAAAGCTGCGTTGGGTGTGTATTTAGTGTAATTTCCCAAAGCTTTTTTAATGTGCAATCAATGTCGGAAACGTAATCAACATGCCGTAGCCCCCACACAAAGTATAGAACACCTTTAATCTGGTATCGTATATCCACAGTAACTTTAGAGAATGCCGATAGTGGGCGGAACTAATAAGATTCCGCTGAAGCAATTCAAACACCTCCCGAGACAGTTTCAAAACCCATATTTTTGATTTCCACTGAATGGATCTGCATCTTTTCTCACGATGAGTCAGATAGCGAGCAGCACTCACCTCACCACAGAACCTCGAATGAAACAATTCTTCACCGCGTGCATTTGTGGAAACTTCTCAGGCTCTGCCACAGATATATCGGTGAGCTTCATATTCAGATACTGATCCACAGAATGTAAAGTTCCGCATATACTAAACTTTTGTATGTGAAAATAAAAATGTTTTGCAAACTGGTATTAGAGACCTCAGGTCGTTTTTCAGCTCCACCACAACATCTTGTCCAACCAAAGACTTGAAAAAAGAGAAAAACAGCTGAAATAAGAATACTGATAATCTATACCAAAGCTCGAAAATGACTAATTGTACAAAACAAAACTATCGCTTACCATTCCCTATTCACTTGCTTCTACACCCGCTACAGATGACAATCAAGTCTGAAACAAAGCTTATTATGCAGAGAGAAAAAAATTGAAAAGAAACACCGCTCATTGTGCGGAAACCTTCGAAAGAAATGCAATGCAATGCTGGTTGAATACGAAATTCTGCCGTCAGATTAATGACGATGACTTTGGTTGCGTCCAATACATTCGATTTCGCTTAAATTGAAAATTTCCACAGTCAGTAACTTTTAGCTTGTTTCCCTCATTGTTTTCTTTCTGGTTGACTCTTTCATTGTTGTTTGCCCTTTAATATAACCAACATTGGTTCTCCGCACGTTTGTCGCTCTATGAGTGAAGAGTGGATGTCTTTTTTGGTAGGAAAAATGCCTCTCGAAGTGTCAGCGATATTGGACCGCGATTCAGCCATTTACCTTACTGGAGAGTCCATCTTAGTGAAGGTGAGCAGAACATCATAGAATTGGCTTTCTAGAGTGGCATTATGTGACGTCAATTTTTTGGACCATTTGGTGCAATCGCACTACACTCCATTTTTTTATATGCTTCTCGAAAGCTGGGCTTCTTTTTGTCTAGTTTCTATTGCCATGATTCTTGCTTAATACGTTGTTTGTGCCCTGTTTTCGAGGACAAGTAAAGCTCTACTTTTGATTGATTTTCCTGTGTTTTTAGATCTCATGTTACACATTCAACATTTTAGGTAACTCTGAAGAACTTAGCTCCAAAAGGACGTGAATCTTTGGCGTGGGGAAGTGTTCAGTTGACTTGCGGTAAGGGAATTTATTTGCTGAGCTTTCTTTTTGGATGAGTGTCGCCTCTTTTACATTCTTTCTTGAGTATCATCAACTTAACAATAATCTGTCATGCTATGTTCTATTACCTGGTTTCAGAGCGCACTATGGGAGCTCACGTTGCGTTTCGTGATCGACCCACAACAGCCATATCAAGGAGCGCTTCTACAGTGTACTCCTCAAAGCCGAACGTTCTCTTTTGCGATGTTGAACTGAATCATGGGGAGTCTCGTCAATTTAGCTGCGAGGTAACCAGGTGCTGTTTTTGTTGGTCAATTACTCATTCTTTAGATCCTAGATTCCTCTTCCCATGCATGAATTGCCTCCATCGTTTCGTGGTCACCTTGTCAGGTATCTCAATCGGATAACCGTTGCTGTGCAGCATGTTCGAGCACCGATCAAACTTATGCACATACCAGTGAGGTAAAGGTTTTGATTCCTGAGAAAATTCAAAAATTAGTGGAATAATGCGTACGTTTTTTAGGATCATTCCAGCAGTAGGAGTTGAGGACGTTCCAAAAGTTGAAAAGAATCCATTCTTGATAGGAAACATGGCATCAGCTACGATCTCACAGGTTCTGTTTGTTAAAATTTTCACTAGCTCCATTTTCATTTTTGTCTCTATTGGCTATGATCGCATTTCTAGACTATGATGGCTGCTGTGGATGAGATAACAGCTCCTAAAAGGGCGTATATGTTTAGTATGACGAATGCGAAAGGTAAAGTTGCGACCATGACGCTTTTCAAAAAAACTTTTCGATTGGGAGAAGATGTTTTGGGAGTACTCAGTTTTGAAGGTAACGCTATTCATCTCACTCCTCGATGATATTTCAAGATCTTCTGAATATAGATTCTGGAGTCCCATGTGTCCAATACTCTGTACATCTGGAAACTGTAGAACAGCTCGCTGAAGATGTGGTAGGAGAGCGTGGCGAGGTCAAAACGGAAGGAATGGTTTGTGTAGATCTTTTGTTTCGAGTTTAACTTTCTAAAGAGTCATACCAGTTTCAGGAGAACGTCGCTGTATACTCGAACGATTATGTCGTATGTGCCTATGCATCTGAAAGTTCGTTTCGATTATCAATACCGATGCATGCTCCTCCAACTTTCCACACAGACACTAGTAGGCCTGATGATTCGTTGGTATTCAGCTGTCATTTACTTGAAATTTTTCTCAGTACATTTGAAATGGAGATTGCGGTTTGAATTCGTCACATCGGAACCTTTGATCAACGTTGTTTATGGTGAAGTTTGCAAAGCACCCATAGGTAAATTTTTTGTTTGGTTCATCTTATTTTCCCTTTCAAAAATGGAAGCGGAGATGTTTCAAAGCTTTTATGTGAAATACTTCGTTGTAACCTTAGTTCTCCTACGCAGATGTACCTATCGAAACGCTGGCGTGGAAGACGGATATCTATGTGCTACCCTGCAGCCCTCAAAACGCAGCACTTACAGATTCATCTCATGTTGGAAATGCTTCCATGGTATTATAATATTGTTTGTACATATCAAAATCATTGTAAAATCAGCAAAGCCTGAATTTGGCTGTATATCTGTGATTTATAATTTATACAAAGACGAAAATAATAAAGAATAAAAGGACGAAAACGTGATTCAAAGACAACGAGAAATATCAGATGGTACTGGCAGTGACCTTATAATCGTTGAAAGTTGTATAAACTAGCAAATTTTCGCTAGCCATTGTCACACCGTACAAAAGTTCCTTCCCAGCTTTCTCATCTGATTGAGTTATGTTATATTTTTCATCAAGGATTGCCCATCCTCCATACATGCAAGCAGCTACGTGACAAGGATTTCCATGTGCTTGAACATCCTCTATATGCCAAACACCTCCAGCTGTCTAAAGAGGATATTCTGAGCCTTGCTTTAGTGCTCGGAAACAAATTTACCTCCTTGATCTGCAAAGGCTCCTTAGTTTGCCTCAAATCGAATAAGCGTATATGTTGGTCATAGCTGCCCGTCAGGATGGTCTAAAATGTGAGACTAATTATGACATTAAAAAGTTGTTGATTATAGAAAAATTTCAGAATGAGGAATCTCAATTGGAGTGATAAATAGTCAACCAGAAAATTTGGAAAAGTGGCTCAATTCTTGAAGAAAACTCACATTCTCCCCTTGCCAACTGCTAAATGTAACACCAGCATCAAACCCAGTGACTCGATTAACCGTAGTTTTTGATCGAGTATCCCAAACTTTGAGCGTAGCATCTTCACCACCCGTGCAAAGTGATACATTATTCAGACTGCAGGTCCACACCTAAAAAGAAGAAAATGGGATAATGTGCAGAAATATACATTAACCTAAAGAACTACACTATACTATACCTAAAAAAATAAACTAACATATACTGTACTCTTACCTCACATCCTTCACTGGTATACGGTAATGAATGAGCAATCCAAGTAGCAACAACGGTTCCAGTGTCAACATCAACAATATGAGCATTTCCAACTTTGTCGGTACAGGCTACATTTCTAGTGGAAGAAGGAGATGAGACATCGAGAAGCATGTTCTCAGATACAGGGATTGACTCGGACGTTGGCTTCTCTAGAAAAAATTTGCTTCTTTCTATAAATGACTCATCAAACGAAAAAGACTGATGATGTGGGTTCAAGTAGATAAAATTACCTCCATAAGTAGTGATGAATAACGATCCATCAGTCACTGCTGCTATTATGACTTTCGGCTTCAGAAAATCAAATCGGAATACTCCAGCCGGGGCTTTGATGCATTGCAGAACTTCAAGACCAGGAGACAAAATATAGATGAAACCAACACGTGATTCTGCGCTCTCTAATTGATATGTGGATACAAGCACTTCAGATTTTGTAGAACGAGCAAATGCAGGTCTTTCGGGTAATTTTATAGAGGCTGGCATAATTATACAGCTATAACAATCTGACAAATTCAGAAAATCACAGACAACCGTAGAAAGCAAGTTTGATACAAAGTGAATGGGATTTCAAAAAATTACTGATTCTTTACTGCAGCGTCAGCAGCAGCCTTCTGACGGTCTTTCTCAGCCTCTATCAGGCACTCTCTGAAATTTCATATATCAATAAAAAGAATTAAAGACCGGATAAGAAGTTCGAACCTGACAAGAATCCTTGAATGGGCTATAGATCTTTTCAAACGTTCGGCACAGATTTTATTTCCAGTATAAGTGGGTCGGATATCCTTGCCAAGTTCTTCAATTAGAGCAAGTAGCTGTTGGTATTTGGAACCACTTGCAATCTAAATTTCACATTTGAATATCTAAAATGTAGTTTACAGTCGTTTTCAATTCCACGACACTTTGTGTAAATGCACCACTTTTACAATCTGTAGTTGGCGTTAGTTTCTCTAATATGATTGTCGAAATAGTATAAAACTACGAAAGTGGAACAAAACGACTGCAAGAAGTAGATGCGAATTTAGAAAGTAGCGCAAATAGCGACTTTTGCTTGCATATTCAATAACGGTGAAAAAAGGTGAGTTCATTGGAAAAAAACAAGTTGTTTTTCTAATAAAAAAATTAGCGTCCTTGAAGTTTCTGCGCTCCAGAGATAACGCCGCTTTCAGGCACCATAGCGTGGCATGCGCAACCTCGCGACAAAGTAAAGACGGTTTCCAATAAATAGCGACTTATACACCTCATCAGGTTCAGAATCGTCCCACTACAACAGTGACACTGCCAAACGGTAAGCTATGTAATCTATCAAAAATCAAAGCAAACCTAATAGCTCACAAAATCATAATAACAGAAAAGGAGATTATGCTTTTGCGAATTGCGTATGAGAAATGACAAAACGAGTGTAAAAAGGGCAACTGCGCGACAACGATCTGGATCAAGACTGCCGAATGGAAAGAAAAGCAAATAGGAATGACAATCCCTCAAGAATGCATCAAAGGAAACTGGATTGCGCTCACCTGTGGTCCAGGTACAGAGTACTGCGGCAACGAGGCCGTTGAAAGATCGTCAGCCATACGTGTGGTTCCGGACGTGATTACAGCGATAAACGGTGTGAATGCTCAGCACCCGACTTTCCAGAATGACGACACAGGCGACAGTGAAGGGCTCCACACCGATCAATATGCCCTCGTCCCCGCCCTCGGTAGGGGCGGGGTCAACGCTTCCACGGTGTTCGCCTTCGCGTCAGCCGTTGTCGTTCACCGCACCCGCACGATCAACGATCAGTCTCTGATCGAAGAATTGTTGCACTTTAGGAAGGAGAAATGCCGCAGGTAGGCTTTTACCATTTGCTTTTCCTCTAACTGCTTCACCTTGTTTTTTCTTTATTCTTCGAAGGGCTTTAGAATGAGATAGTGTCGGAGATCCTTTAGAAAGTCTTGGAATTTAATAAGTTTCAGAGATTGCGAATACTGTATGGGAATCTTTAATGGCATGATTTGACGCGTTGCGTATCGTAGGTGTTGCGTCCGGTGCTTTGTATATTGCATCACAATTCTGATTTGAGTGGAAAAGCTTGAACTATAAACACGTAGTAGCGTTCGCACATGATTTTGGCCCTAAAATTGGCTGCAAAAATTCTTTCATATTCATAAACAGCAGTTACATTCCTTTTCCAACGTATAAAAATGCGCTAGTAGTTGAAAAAAATACAAAAAATAAAGTCCCTAGATTTATAAGTCGTGGAGTAGCGCGCATGGTGTGCAACGCATATTAGGAGATGATTCGATAGTATTAGATGCTACTGTTTTCATTTACTTCGTGTGTGCGCGGCCTGTGAATATCTTTCGCACAACTAACAAACAGTTTGATTGTCTTTCGCACAACTATCAAACAGCGTAAGTACAAAAGGTCTCTTTTTTTCATAGTAGATTATGGCATAGTTACAATAATAACAAAATGTTCTATCAGGTAGTATATTTTCGTAGTGTTTTGCTCACGTTTCATGTTCAATGGCCCCGTAGACTGCCTATTAAAAAAATTCCGCGCCATAACATTCTTATCATTGTCACACCATAAGAACTGATATGCCGCGTCGAGTGTTCAGAAAGTATGAATCTATTTATAGCAGTGAGCAGTCTAATTCCTTGTAGACAATATGCAGAAACAGATGACTGCGTTGTATGAACTTGATGTCCATTGTGCAGTTGTACCTAAGTTGATAAGAGTCGAAATCAGCATTAACCAGCTCCAAGTTGCTAAAATATTGTCTCGATCGAATGCTTTTTTTTCAGTACACGTTTGAGATGGGAATGACTTGCGATGGATGTGCCAACGCTGCACGTCGTGTTCTTGGAAAACTTGGCGACAAAGTCACTATCGATAAGATAGATGTGGCTACAAAGCAAGTAGTAGTTACCACCGATCTGCCAGCCAATGATATACTCGAGACACTAAAGAAGACCGGAAAGGAAATTAAGCAGTTGTAGAGGGGAATCTTGACATTTTCTATATCTTCAACATTTTCTTAAGTCTTTATACCTGTTAATTTATGCTAGTGGTGGTTGTGATGCTCTCAGCCTTGTATTATTTAGTCCATTAATATCAGATTTCTTGCCTCCTCTTGGAAAGATGATTGTCTCTGTGATCTGTCCCTATTTATGCAATGTCTGCAATCTACTTAAAGCTAATCAATAGATATGACTTTTGCTTCGTGTGGCACTTGCGCTTTGATTAGGATTATTTGTCCTAAAAATGTCACAAGCTATTGACAAAAAATTCCCCGTTTACCCTTATATGTGTCGCTTGACTTGCATGTGCAATGAAACTCATGCTGAGTGAAAATTGTGTAGCACTGTCCTGATGCATTTAGAACAGCACAGACATTTCCAAAATGACATGGCAAACCCTCAGTCTTTCTCTCAGAACATATTGAAATTGAAAATATTTATCAACAACAATATGCAACCATGAGATCTTTATTTACAAAAGAAGAAATTCAAAAACCATTCTTCCTCAGAGCGGCTAAATACATATTTACTCAAGCAACACTAGCCTCTTTTGACCTGGACACCGTATCATGACGCTTTTGCCTTTATTCAGAAGCACCTCCGGTTTATAGTCGAATTTGGCGCTAAAACCGGGTCTTCACCTAATAAGCTATGTGAGTAACCATACTGAAGGGCTTACCCTGGAGGTATATCCAATGTTTTTTGAGAAGGATAAAACATCTCCGCCGTGTCGCGAAGATACCAACCATAGTTTTTCCTCTTGAAAAAAAACTTTGGTTTTGATGATTTTGAAACAGATCTCCAAACATACTGATTTTTCTTGTTCTATTATTGTTCCTGCGGGTAAGTCGGTGTACTCGATTGAGGCCAGACAATTGCGATTTGCACACTCAAGCAGCCGTTTTCCAGTACCTTCGATATTTACCACGCGAAGTCGACTAGCTTTGCATCGCCAGCATCGGGAAGGCATCTTCTGCAAAACACTTGTCCATTGGACGAAATTAAGAGTAACCAGGTGAACATGTAATTCTTTGTCTTGTGAGTACGTAGCTAATAAGATTTGTCAGACAATTGCCGAGATTTATATAAACCGTTTGGTGGATGAAAAAAAAATCGTCTATAAGCAAAAGCAGGCAGTATCCATGAAAAGCTCTAAACTTACCGGATCTGTTGCTTGCACCTTGACTGGAGACTCATCTAATGGAACATCTGAAGAAGAGAAACTACTGACATCTGAAGTGCGAATTTGAGTGGTGCATTACCTAATTTCTTTGAAGTTTCCTGCGGCGAATTCTCTGCTGCTTGTTTTGCCATTTTATAGAGAGTGCTAGGGCACATTTCTATGACAACTTCTTCCGGCCCTATAGTGAACTGAAGAGGCTCCATCTGAAACGAATTTGAAAGTCAACCTAGTAAAAAGACTCACACAGGCCAGATAGTGCCTGCTAAGACAGCTCAGACACATGTCGAGGATATCTCAAACCTTCATTAATACCACGATTGCAAATGAAAAAACAGTGAACAGATGAGCAAAGTCAAACCAGCAGTATCTAGCCTTAACATTCTTATTCGAATATAAGCTTCAGTAAGGCACTTCGAATATTGCATTTCAGATTGAGCGACAGTATGATTGCATAAACAAAACGAAAACGATATTATGGTAGCGGGCAAAGATTGCTGTCCTTCTCATCAGACACTATCGAAGCAGGTTTCACAAGATACTGATCGTATATACCATCCTTAAAAATGTCTTCCGGTGCGATCCTAGCGTGCTGCTGCAAATCCGAAAATAAAACCAAAAGAACAAGAAAAAATAGATCATGGACTTACTCTGATGAAGCCAATCACATTCTTTTCGTCAACCGAACCCATCCCCATCATTGCACCCCATGCTACCAAAGCGAGTGGCTAAAAAAACTATTCCTAACCGGATGAAACAAATTTCTGAGAAATTGTTACCCTAATTTCACTGAGCTTGTTGTAAGGCGTGATGATATGGCGGTACAGACAGCGCGTTACAATCTTTCGAAGTTTTTCCACTTCGTTTTGATCGGCACAAGGATGATAAAGGAGGATAATCGAACCATGCTGAATGACTGGATGAGAAGAACTACTCCTATGAAATCAGTGAAGACTCACCTCCAAGTTATGAAGCCATCGTTGTTCAGGAACATAGAGATATTCACCATATCGAGCCCAGTTCGGTCTATGATCACCTCTGGAGAGAAAGAAACTGTGATAATAGATTGTTCTTTACAAAAAAAACACACACACACAGTAGGAATGAGAAACCCATACTACCTAAGCGGCGGCGATTCACTGTACTCGATACTCTCTGACATGCATTTGTGGTAAACCACATCCTTTGTCGGATCGAATGAGGCATTTCTCGCTTTAAGATCGTAGAAGATCGGATCAATTTCCTAAACAATAATCAACCATCGAAAAAATCAGCAGAAAAACTTTACCTGATGCACTGAGTACGATGCCTTGTTCATGCATGTGAAAGTGGAGAAATCTGTAGGGTCCCAATCTACCACCAGATTCGTCTGCAAAGAATGCCCTATGGATCACTACGCAACATACACATGCAAACACAAACCGACCACCACCCGACGGGAACAACACTTGTACATAGGGTTAATTGGTGCATGTCATACTTTTCCATCATCGCATTGCGTTTGGACTCCCATCATGGGTCCCATGTATGGATAAACGCAAGAAATCAGAGACGTGACTAACAAAATGGGCCGCACAGCCATCTGCAACAAACACGTGCACAACAATGAGTCAAAATAATCAAAACATTTTCGGCAATCAAATTCAATATTTGAGAGTTCTTCTCGAACACTGAACGGAAAAAGAAAAAGCATAAGTGAAAATTTCATTGAGGCTATAGGACCTACACTGTAACAATAACAAGCAACAAAATTTGGTAACAAATTATGTACAGATAAAAAACAATGAAAATTTCACAAGAGGTTGCACACCATAAGTTATATATTACCACTAAAATCCACCTACTCAGATACAATAGCTTGAACTTTCTTGCTAGAACCTAGGATAGAATTAGCCATATCAGTGCCAAATGTATTCTGTAGCCGGATACGATCGTATTTGCAGTAGAGTAGAATGGAGCTGAACCTGGTTTCGCTTTCGCAGCTAGCCATATTGATGAGTTCGCAATAGAGATCGGGGTGATTCGGTAACTGATAGAAGACGATTCTTTCCATACCCTGAAAGAGGATGATAAACTCAGATTTGCAAGCACGATGCACATACTGGGACCTTGGCAAAACAATTCCAATTAACACGATGTAAAAAAATAGCGATAAAAATTGCAAACTAGGAACTCACCCTCAACGTTCTTCTATTGAAAAAGTAGTAGCGTTCTGTTACCACCAAAATCTTCTTGATTTTATGGTAGAACAGATCGCGCGCTCTTGTGATCTGGAAAAATTGTTTAAAAGTGCAGTATGCCGATTCACTTACAAATCCAGCATCGTTCGGTCTTTGGAAATCATACCTTTGTCTTCGGAGCATATTCGTGACATGCCACAAAGCTTTCCTCGGTCCTCTTAAAATGGTTCCGAACTCGCACAAAGTCAAAATACGATGGTATAACCACACATGTTCCAGGTAAAAGGCTGGCATTGCACTAGAAATAAATAATTCAAGCGGAATAATTGGTAAATTTAGGAAGCTTACATAATCTTTGAAGCAGTTGAACCTCGCCACTGCTTGTTCGGAGGGATTCTCTACATCAAAACGGCGAAATTCTTGACATAGAGGGATCTCAATCTGGAAAGAACAGCATATAAGATTGGATACACTGTAAAGTACCATACCTTATCTAGGGTTCCTTCACATGGATTATTTTGCATAATCAGTCCTCTAAAGTTCAATGAATGTTCAGACATTAAAGCTGAGAAAAGCTCATGTCTATAGCGAGAAAACAGCAGCAACTGGCAAAAAAACTTCGCCTGACCATCTAAATCAAGCAAAATAGAGAAAAAGGAAAGAAGGATGTCTCCGTAGATCCATACCTATATAACACTGCCGCACTCTTGAGATGTCCGTGTCAATTCTTGACGGCTGTGTGTGAATGTGAGAAAAGATGATCGACAGGTGTTCCCAATTCTGTTGCAGCATAATGTCAGCCTGAGCAGATATTTTGAAGTAAAAAGTGATTGAATAACATGTGAACAAACCTTATCAATAACAGCTATCTGAATGTTAGAGATCAAATGGCTTTCCTTTCCCGCTTCGCCATCCAAAATCATACGAAGACCAAGAGGGGAACAAAGTATGAAGTCAGACTGTAATTATATATGAAAATCTCAGCGTCGAAACAATTCGATGACTCACCTTGTCGAAACCCTCGTATAATTTCAAAACTTTCTTGGAAAGAGCGATACCAACACGAAAACAGTCATCATTATTGCCAGTCATGAGCTCCTACAACGCATACATCAGAGCTATATTTAACGAGTACAATTCATTCTCACCCTAAACTCATCGGGCACTCTTGTTTTGAATTCCGGTGGTGCCTCACTTTTGAACTCTTCGTTAAATCGTTCCCGACTCCAAATCGAACCTTTACTATCTACAAGGACAACGATGAAAATATAACGAAATAACAAAATGATTTTAACCCTATACCTCTACCGAATATCAACCGCTCCAGTCGCTGTACAATATCAAAAGCATCTTTTTTGAAGGGACACAGAATAAGCACAGTAGGTCTCACAAAGCCTTGATCTCGACAGGACTCCACCAATTCATCCGGAACAAGGCCCTAGACGAATATGGTCGAAATATGTGCAAGATGTGTTGGGAAAAGGCATAATAACGAAAAAGATAATTCGAAGACAGCAAGAAAAACTTGATAGAAACATAAAGATTTACTCAAAGCACCATACATACCTTAGCGCCTGCCGCTTCCAACTTTCTGTTATTGGCTATAACGGAATTTCGCGTTCGTATGACATGATTCAAAGCATGAGCCAGATAAACGGTCTACAAAATAGATAAGAAATTTTTCGAAAAACAAAGAAGAGATAGATAGCAGAGACTAACGACTAACCCTGTACGAGTGACATCCTGGTGTGGGTTGAGCATACAAGTCTATATAGCGCGTAACTATGTTGAGAAAGTCCGCCCGATGCTTATCAGCTACAAATAGGAGCTGCGCAATATTTAATGTAAGATATTTGAGTGTAAAATGTGATATGGAACAAAAGGTTTTGGAGCACGAGAAATAAACATGAGCCATGCAAGGCTTACCTTCCTCACTCTCAAAGTTACGTATCAGACTTTCGCTCCACCCCGTCTCCGATGGCAATATGGGTTGTTTGTCTATGGATGCCTGAAAAAAGTGCAGGGCTTCACAAGGTCACACACATAATGAAATGTCACCTCATCCATAACTCCAATGTATTCCACTGCGGGGCCAAGAGAAGGTAAATCAAACTGTCTTTGAGCTCGTTTTGATTTTGGGGCTTTGAGCTTGTCACACTGATCACTGTCCAACGTGAATTCGAAACGTTTTGTAAAAACACTGTGAGCTTCAGGATCAGCTTTCAAAGACGTTTTTATAAGCGTTTCAGGTTCATCGGAAGGACCAGATGAGTCTAGCTTCCGCTTCTTTGCTTTCATACTATAAACATGACATCGATAATTGTGAGAGAGTATACGCACAATGTAAACATGTGCACGATATCGTGATTTCACAGCAAATCAAGATTTGACTATAGATTCTAAAAAGTTTATCAGTTACATGGGAAAAAATCTCACAAAAATTAGATTGGTAGCATTTACAATAGATGAAAACAGTTACAAAAAAAACTATCCATTTTTGCACATGCACCTTTACAAAAGCAGCGCCACTACGAACACAGAGCTGCGAAAAATGTGATCACAATAATAAGACGTAAAAGCTACAGAGCACATTGTTTACACGCTTACTGAGATGAGTTACTCCTGAGAATGTGCCTCGTTTCGCATAGCATCGGGGACTGGCGGTGGCGTAGACAACTCATCAATGACGGGGGCGGATTCGCCTCGAAACATCAACGCCACCATGGCGGGAGTTTGTGCCTGCAATCAAATATATTATATAAAAATGTGTATGTGACGATGTCAAATAATTAATCGTTCTGAAGCGATATTTATTAATCTCCCGTCCCCTGATCGGGCGCCCATTTGACAACATCTCCCGGTCAGAGACCGGGAGATTGATGAGCTCCTGGAAAACGCCCCTAACAAAAGTACAAATGCTTCCACACAAAATTTAAAGTATTCAGATGAAGTAATGAGTTCAATTAAAAGGAGAAAACTATGTACGTAGAAAAACAGTGAGTGCGAATGTTCGAACCTTTGCATTGTTGACTGTGAAACCACTTTCTGCCAGCGTTTTCTTGTCATCTAGGGGAAGAAAATTGGTGTTGCTGTCGTCCAGAAGGCGTACAAGCACTTGATCGGTGACGGGAATCTAAACAGTAAAATCTATGGGCTTAAAGTGCTCAAAATTCCACCGAGACTTACTTTTAGCACACCCTCTACAATTCTCTTAAGTTCCAAGACTGGAGCTGTGTCTTTAGCATCGCAGAACACATGCTGCTTTTCTCGGACGATTTCGAAGAACAGCTCATGAACCTATGTACGAAGTATAGTTTGACTTCCTTCGCAGAAGAATATGAACTGACCATGTTTGAAAATATACACTCAAAAGTTGATGACCCGAAAAGCAAGAAACTCTGTAATTAATCATATTGATGTTAGAGCAGAGATTACTTACAAAGAATGGCGTACGTACAAGCAAGCTTCCTTATACAAATGATAGACATTGTAATAAACGCACAGCAACAACGAAGAAAAGCAAAACTTAGAAAAAATGACTCAAAAGCATTACCAAAAGAATTTGCACGCTCCACTTTTATAGTTTGGGCATTTGCACAACAGGCACCCAAATTGACGCGACGAGAAACTTTGCATGCAAAGTTAATTAAATATTCACTATGGATACTCGATCAGCAGAAAGTCATAAAAATTCGTTAGGGATCGTTCATACCGCGCACAAAGGCGGACGAAGGCGGACGAAGCCGGACGAAGCCGGACAAAGGCGGACGAAGGCGGACGAATGCGCGGTCTCGTCTCGTCTCGTTTCTCTCGACACGCACACACACTCACACGCGCCTTCGTCCGCCTTTGTCCGGATTCGTCCGCCTTCGTCCGCCTTTGTGCGCGGTATGAACGATCCCTTAGCCTTGTAGAAAAGTTTTTCCTGGAGGACTTAGGAAGGTTCACCGATTACCCCCCCCCCCCCTCCCTGCGAGAAGTGACTACCACCCGCCAAAGAAATTTCCCCGTGATCACACTGATATATATATAATCGGTCATTTGAGTTGAAAATTCTTCTGACTTTGGAATAAACTTGACCTCATATCAACCTTTCGTTGCTTATTGTTATCAACTTTGATTATTCGTACTATTTCGCGCGGATTGAACAAAACAGGAGAACGTCATAATTGAATAAAGGGCCCGGCATATTTCACGCGATTTCAGTCGCAACGCGATTTGGCAATATTCCAACTGTCCATAACTCACTGTAGGCACATTTTGAATGTACAGAAAGTGAAGCATTTTATCAATCCACGTAAGTACACACACTATGCATGTGCAGTTTGCTAGTGTTGAATGTGAAGTCTGGCGAATTGCCAAATCGCGTTGCGACTGAAATCGCGTGAAGTATGCCCGGCCCGGCCCTTAAGTGGGATAAAATTCTTTTCATTTAAATTATCCGAGGTCAAACATTCAGGTAATATCGAAATGCGATCTTTTGAACAAATAGGTTTGATCATTTAATCTAGCGTTTCTGCTGGTGACTGTCTAAAGCTTGGCCCTTGAATTTGATAAGCCATAAATAATTTTCTTAAATGTGAAATTCAAAGAGTCATCGAAACTCCAACTTTGGAATAGAACCTCTTCAGGTGTTAATGCCGCAAAAATATACGGTTTCGAAGCATACGAATTCTATTTGTTTCCACATTTCTCTGAATGTAGTCCAGCGAAAGTGATTATGGAGAGAAAGGTCAAACTGTTGAACTGTCAAGGTGCTACATCTGAAGGCCCAATGGGGTTTGAACGAGGAAAGGGAGGTGGTTTGAAGTGTGGTCCATAAGGGATGGAATCTGCACGGATCACGACCCTAAATTCCCTCTTCAATACATTTTCTGCCACCTTTCCTCTTCTTAATCTTGAGAATGCTAATTTAACCCATATTTACTTTCTTCAAAGTGTACTCACTCATCTCCGAACCTTTAAACCTCAACATGATACTAGATTAAAAATAAATATAAAGATAAAGATAAATTGGTGTTTGAATTCTGGAAATTACCTCACTTAAACCACAATAGGTAATTTGCACATTTTGATAATCTATACGGACTTGCAATTCCTAGAAAATCAGATGGAGAAAGCAGGAAATAAAAAATTTTCAAAGCTAGAAATTTTTCCAGCGTTCCTCCTTCCTCTCCTAAAAATTAAACGATAGGCACTGATATGTGTTGCCTAGCAAACGGAATGACCTTTTCTTTTCAAATTGCTCATTTACATATTGGAACAAAAAAAGTAAACAAAGTACATAAAGTGACAGGCACAATTTTAGCGGGCAGTCTCTTAAAACCTAATTTATGGAAAACTAATTTTCAGAAGTTTGTAATTGGCAATTGGTGAAACTGAGATGCTTGAACAGACTTTGTTCCGGGGCAGTCGGGATAAACATGCAGTTTTGTAGCAATGTTCGAAAGCTGAAAACTATTATCATACATTTCCAGCAAACCAGCATATCTTGAACTCTTTCTGTACGCAAATTCGTTTCATAGAAGCCAGCCATACAAGGAAAGGCTTGACAACAGTTCCTGTTTACTAAAGATATAATGGCATGTCTCTAGAGCATAAAGGCAGAACCGTCTTTTCTATTGTAAATAAATTGCTGGACACCCTTGCCGCTGTACTTTCACAAAGAATCTTTGTGTTAGATTGGCACCTGAGTTTTGTAATTGATTCCATAAAATTTTCCTTTGATGTGGCGAGTTCACTTTTCGGCATAATACAAATTTATTAGTGAGCTATATGCGCAAACAGTTTGACTTCTGATAGCGAAGTGGGATAAGTTCATGCATTCTCCGAAAGCCGGTCGGAAACTTACAAAAGTGGAACTTTTTGCAATCTGTATCAAACTCATCAAGCCTAAGGTATACATATTATTGCTAGTGGATCTTTATGTAGAGTTTCAGATGGATGTGGTTTCATTTTCTGAGCAGCTTCATTTTTGCTTTTGGCCCAGTAAATCTCGAATTTGACAACTTCCTAAAAATATGTGAATTTCCCACTTCGGTAACATACCAAAGTGTATAATACATCGGTAATTCACTCTACCAAAAATAGAATCCTTCACAGTCAGCAAAGAGAACTCATAAACTTAGTTGCAAAACACAGAACCTGATAGATGGTTAACTCATCGACGACATCGCGGAAAATGCCGAGAATTTTTGTGCCAACAATCATATTAGGTTGAACCGAAAGTTCTGTCGCACCATGTTCAAAAAATCATAACTTCTTTGCATCATAATGATTTTACGCACAAATTTTATTAGAAAGCGTAAAGCATGTAGTTTCCAAAAGCTCCTTGGGGAGTTTTCGACATGCGCAGGTGGCAGAAATAAAAATAAAAGAACGAGATTATCTGAAATTCGGAATTTTTAAGCAAGAATTCTAGAAATTCAGAAACAGTGCGATAAAATCCAGAAAAGCCATTATCCTAATTTTTATTACATTTGATTACTATCTGAGTCATGTTTGTGCTGATCGAGCCCTTCTTTCAAAAGTTATGATTTTTTGAAAAATAATGCCGAAAAATCAATTTCCTAAGAATTCCTAAGAAATGTATTTTTGGCATTTTTTTCAAAAATTCATGACTTCTGAAAGAAGACCTCGATCAGCACAAACTTGACTCAGTTAGTAATCAAATGTAAGAAAAATTAGGATAATGGCTTTTCTGGATTTTATCGCACTGTTTCTGAATTTCTAGAATTCTTGCTTAAAAATTCCGAATTTCAGATAATCTCGTTCTTTCATTTTTATTTCTGCCACCTGAGCATGTCGAAAGCTCCCCAAGGAGCTTTTGGAAACTACATGCTTTTACTCTTTCAGACAAAATTTGAATTGCGCAAAATCGTCGTGACAGAAAGAAGTTATGATTTTTTGAATATGGTGCGACAGAACTTTCGGTTCAACCTAATATTTTTACAAACCTTTGCGAATGAGCCAATTTTCCAATGCAAGAAGCTTACAAGATTTGACTTCTTTGACAACGTCAGTGTTAGAAAAATATTAGGTTGGCTAGAAAGTTCTTGCGTAATTCAAACAAAATTCAATAACTTTTCAACGACTAAACCTAAATTCACAATCTTGTTCTCTAAAAATATTAGAAGGCCTGCGCTCCATGATGGATGTTTAAGCGCAAGATTTCATGAGCTAGCCCTTGAGAACGAAGCTCTCAAATATGGGACTTCAAAATTTGCAATTTTGAGTTTTGTGCCAGAAAATCGCAGAGTACCGCTAGCTAGTCGAAAAAAATCTGTAAAAATTACTTACACTGCAGAAGTCCATACGTTATTTTAGCAGGCTTTAATCTCGCATAGAAATGCGAAAACAAAAAATTTGTGGAAATTGTCATTTTACAGGATAAATCCCCTTATCGATGTAATTTTTTTTCACAAAAACACAGTTTGCAATCAGAAATAAGACATATTGCCCATTTAGAACCTTGCGACGTTTTTTGGAGTGTAAAAAATTGTTTTTGCCGAAAAACTGCGGTAATGAGTGGATTTTTTCCGCAAAATGACTAGTTCACGAATTTTTTGTTTTTGCTTCACCGTGCAAGATCAAAGCCTTCCAAAGTAACTTGTGGACTTCTGCAGTGTAAGTAATTTTTACAGATTTTTTCGGCTAGCTAGCGGCACTCTGCGATTTTCTGGCACCAAACTCAAAATTGCAAATTTTGAAGACCCATATTTGAGAGCTTCGTTCTCGGGGGCTAGCTCATGAAATCTTGCGCTTAAACATCCATCATGGAGCGCAGGCCTTCTAATATTTTTAGAGAATAAGTCTGTGAATTTAGGTTTAGTCGTTGAAAAGTTATTGAATTTTGTTTGAATTACGCAAGAACTTTCTAGCCAACCTAATAGTAAGTCTTCCACAAATTAGTGCTAAAAATTTTGAGAATCGCCTCTTTATTGGTCCAGATTCTGCAATCGGCCACACGTTTGTTGACATATTTGAGTAATAAAAAAGGCACTCGTTTATTAATGTGTAAAGAAAAACATTCAGTTCATTCATCATCGGTACACTCATATTTCTCGGCTTTCTTCAAACATCTCTTTGCATCGCAGAAGGTATTTCCACAACTGACTGAAAGTGGACATTTTCCTACACAGAAAATGAAAATTCTTGAAACAGAAATTTCGAACGAAGCTTTCTCCAGTTTTTGTAGCGTTAATGTTTATTACTCTCTATATTGACTTACCTACTCCATTTTCGAACGTCTTGTGTGATCTAGAAGTCAATCCATTTTTACCAGCAATTGGTGGTAGTAGCTGAGATGACGTCTGAAAGCCTTTTCTAAATCCTTGCACGCAATTGTAAAAAACGAAAAATTTACCTCACTGAATATTGTTGAAAGGAAGAGCAGACATAAGTAGGTGCTGAGAGCAGAATACATAATGATTTGCTGAAAGATGTGCAAGTATAGCATATAAAGTTTTCAACACAGCTAATGAGAACAGCTTGAAACAGAACTTTTTTGCAGGTATTGGCGGCACCTAGACAGCGAACAAATTTTGCAGCAATTATATTAGGTCGTTCCGAAAGTAATGTCGCTTTTTTCAAACGAACGCCACATTTCACGGAATCAAGATTTTCAAGAGATCTTAGAAGCATTCGATGCAGCATTTCACCCTCTTTCTAATGGTTATAATTTCATTGCATAATTTTCATTAAGCTTTCGAAAAATTAACAAAATCTGCAACTCATGCTTTTTGCCATGGTCAGGTTCGGCAATTTTTTAAATTTTTTGTACCTATTCTCCGAAGAAGTACAAGTAGCAGGTAGATAGAGCAAACCCTATAGGACACAGACAATTTTTTTCTTTTCCTTAGCTTGCTTCTCAGAGTTTCTACAATCAATTTCTCAATGTCATCAAATTCCATATTTAGTCAAGTCAAACCTCACAGAACAACAACCGGCAAGCGACTCGGGTGTCATTCGATGCAGCTTTTTCTCCTCTTTCTAGCGGTCGTTTTTTGTTTCCGATTCATCAAGTTTTCCGGGATAAAATCATCATAATTCAGGTTTTCCAGGGCGTCTCAGGCTGTACCCGGAATTTGCGAAAGTTGCTAATCTGAAGCGGTAAACGCTCATTTGCTTTGTAAAATTAGTGTCAAACCATTTTTCATCTTTGTAAGTTTCAAAATCCGAAGATTTACTGGTGTTTGATGCATTTGTGTCTGAGACGAGCCTGCTAAAATTCGGTGGTTCTATCAAAAAATTTGTACAAAAATTATGACCAGCTCTGGAAAGTAGGAAAAAGTTGTGCTGTTTTCTGTAGAGTTTGCTCTATCCATTCATTACTTGTACTCCTTCCGAGGGTTGTTATAAAAACTTAGAAAAATGTTAAAAATTGGCCTTCTAAAAAAGCATGGGTCGCAAATTTAAATAATTTTTCGAGAGATTGTTGGATTTTGTACAGTAATTATATAACTGTTAGAAAGAGAATGAAATGCTGCATCATATGCTTCCAAAATCTTTTACATATCTTTGTTCCACGAGGTGTGGTGTACGTTTGAAAAAAGCGACATTACTTTCGGAACGACCTAATAGAAAAATCGTAACATGCAACTAAGGAAGTTCATCAGAATGTTGATCATGTAACCACCTTTGTGACCATAGTGAATAAGGAACTATGATCACTGATTTTAGCCTTGAATGAGCTACAAGTTTATTAATGAAGCGATAGCTTTAGCGAATAGCAGAAAATGAGAAATACCAGAAAATGTTAGGACCACCATTACTTGAAGCGATGAATAAAAGTTTTACTCGAATGCTTGGCAGTTCTGCAGAAATAAGTATAAAATGAAATTGTTTTCAGAAGAAGGAATGCTGACCAAAGTTGCTGTTAAAGGCAGCGTCCGGGCAAAGTTTCAAATGAAATTTTTTTTCGCTTACCTGGACTTATTCCTCCCGCTGATTCTGAAAATGTAGCTTGGAGGGCGCGAAAATGCCGAAAACGAGCTTTTCAAAAGCTCCTGATTCGAATTTTGTCGCCTGCGCCAAGATTAAGACGCAGAGTCTTTGTGGGACCCTACGTCTTGACTGTGTGCGGTAGGCGCACTCTCGCTTATCGAACTAACTCGTCCCGGTCGCCCGGGAGTTCCTGTCGCCACTCCTGAAGCGGATTTCTCTCTCAGAAGCAAATTGGTGCCTTGCCAGTTGGGCGAAAGCTTACCAGGACAGGACGGGCGCCCCTGTACTCTAGATTTTTATCCGGATGCTGCCTTTGGAGTCTAGATTCTCTACAAGCTAATTCTATTGGCAGCGACTGCCGATTAAAGTGACTCGAAACTTGTTAATGTTAGGTCTCTTTTTTCATATTATAGACAGAGAAGTGGATTTTCAAACCGAAAGTTTGAAGTGTCCTGTAGGCAGTATTAACTTCTTGTGTTAGTTTGGAAATATACAAAAAAAAATAAAAATTTACATCTTTGTTTAAAGTACAATCTCTTTCGAAAAGGCGCGACAGCCACTTTTTAAGGATAGATAAAATTTCCAAAAAAAAAAGCGGAGGGCCCGTACATGGGCGGGAAGAGTCATGAAAAATTTTGTTATTTGTGGCCGCAAATTTGATGTTTATCAGTCCCAAATGGCAACAACGTCGTCTTGTAAGTGAGTAGAAAAATTAATTGTAAGGGCGACCCGTGCAAAAACCTTAGAGCATATTTTGACGTTTTAAAACAATAATAAATATAGGTTGGTTTACAAAGCAGGTAATCTTGAAGCAACAAATTTGGTGTGTAGATTTGCAACTAGGCCTAGAGAGAAAAGAGAATAAATACACTTTTTGTGAGTAAAGAGATTTGTACTTTTCGGTTTCAAGCGGCTTCGGCATTTGGAGAGCCCCTTATGGATCAATCTTGTTTTCTTTGTCATTTCTTCTTTCTCTGCTCATTTTTCGCTCCTAATTCTTTTTTGAAGCTCTACTGTAGAAGCCGAAGCTATGCACATTTTCTGCAACGCGCGCAGTTCGATTTCATACTTAATAGTTCTTGAGACATCGCAGTGAAATTTTTGCAGTCTCAAAAGAGATTTTGCAAAGTTATAACTCTCTTACTATAAGCCTATTACGGACACAGCTACACTATTGACAGCTACAAGTTAATTATTCTAACTAAGAGTGTTATTTAGACGCTTCGATAGACTCGTTGCACTGCTAAATGGACAGTGATTTTTTATCGACCTGTTTTGCGCATCGTTCAGATTGCAAAAATAGCTGAAGCTTAGAGGCAGCGTCTCTCCAAAATTGGGGTAATCGTTCCTCCACATATTCTGTGAAAGGACCCACTGAGTAGGCGACCGCCCTCTGTCCGGGTCCTTCTACGCCGAGAAATTTGCCCCGAAAGTGACCGCAAAGCAGGATTTGGCCCCATGGTCCCGGTTTTCCCTTTATGGGAATCAACATGTCCCTCCACTTAGCGTCCACCTCCACGGTGTTGCTTCCACGGAGTTTTTCAAAAACCGAGTTTTCGTACATTTTATGTGATTTTGGACCCGCATCCGGTTAAACAGGGACGAAAGGACTTGCAATATGCAAAAATCTCGACATCAAAATTTTGGTGAGACGTTAAGTTTCCAAACAATGAATATTCTGCTGAGATACGGTAAGATTCTTTTTTCCTCTAACAACAAGTCGAGGTGCGTGCGTGAAACGCTGAACTATTAGATCTCATATAGCCGAAACACTGGACTTAAATCCCACATAATCATTTCACTCAAAATTATAAGGATTTGAAACTCGTATAACGAGAAATTAGCTCCCACTTTTGACTGATTTTTGGAAAACCATCCGAACAAGATTTCTTTCTCTGTCAAGAAGAGAGAGAATTTCCAAAACTCTCTAGGACATACTCATAAACACCAAATTATGGTAATGACTCATGTCACAGTTTAAGTTCCAAGTCCAAAACAATTCATCATTTGGAACGTATGTGCGTTTCTCACAGATTGCTTCATTTCGTATCTTGTCGAGTCATGGATAAAACTGCTCAAATCACGACAAGTTTAGCGCTTGAAAATCAATTTCAACTCCAGTTTTACTGAAATCATAGAAGAATATTCACCCATCAATATTCTACGCAGTTTCATCACATAAAACATAATAGTGAATTCTGAATGATAGATAATCGATAAGCACGCAAAAAGTGGTGAGAAGACGTTATTATGAGTGTATTGAGCGATGAAGAGGCAAAACTAGCGTCGTTGGGGCATGGTGTTCTTCTCGTGGTCGATCTCCTTGTTGACGAATCGATGCCAGGTGACGTAAAACTGCGTATCTAGTAATCTATCATCTACTTCTCTGTTATGCAGTCGAAGTGCAGTCAGGTGAAGTCGCAGAATTCTGTTATTTACTTTGCTTTCATAATCATCTGCCGACCTTTGCTATAAACTCTCGACGATAAAATTTGTAAGCCCTCTCTCTCAAAGCCTTCTCTCACTTCTCTGTCCCATGCAAATCACATGATAAGCGGCGCGAGTTGCAGCTTATCACTAGTTTTTCCAAGAAGTGCTATACTGTAAGTGACCCCTTTGCAAGGCACTGCCAGTCTCGCTATATAAAGAAACCGATACGTTTTTTAGGGGGTGCTCGCTCATCAGTGCCGTTGCACTATGCAGACATTCGCGTTCATCCTTCTTCGTCTCCTGCTGAGTAGCCCTGCACTTTTTTTCGTTATTGCATGTGTCGATCGTACGGTGCGATGCGTATCGTAGTGCAAAGCGATGGACTCGATTTTTTGTTATTGGTAAAAACGTGCATGAATGAGCGAGGCGAAAATACAATTCCGGCAGCGTTTTCAATGAAAACTTTTTGCCTTTCACGGCTCTATTGTGAGAATTTTCATCTGCAGCTACAACGATTAGAAAAACTTACCTCATGTTAAGTTGCACCACACTTAACTTTCACATACATATCTTTTATTTGGCTAATCTCCTAAACACGATCTCACTTCCTTTTCCTAATAAAACAGTCGAATAGTTGTCCTTCCTTGATGGCGTCATTACAGCTCTAAGATCTCTTTACCCTAATCTTGTATGCATTAGATTTGCCATTGCAGCGAAAAGGAAATGTTTCCCCATTTTAGGATCTATGATGTTTTCCATTCCGGTAAAACTGGTTCTGATTTTCATGCCGCTAATCTGCACATACAGACTTTCACTTTTGCCATTCGCGGCCCGTAAATTCACGCAAACTCTATTCCTGTTCCATCGCGCGTATCGTAGGACTTGCAGTCGAGCGTTTTCTGTTCCTGCAAGTGTGCAATTTTCTGAGAACTTTGCTATTTCTAGAGGCATTTCTAATACTTCTAGAGGCATTTCCCCCCAAATCTAAGGATTTCATGTTTCTGTCTTCTTTGGATGTTTTAGTTTCTCAATTTTAGAAACAAACTACAGTTACGAGAAAACCCCAAAAATCTTTTCGAACTCGCTACTTTGCAAGCGTGGACACTGCTCCGGCGCGGGAGACGGTCTTTTCGCACGGACGGTTTGTTTCGCGCCACCCTGATTTTGACTTGCCTTAAGGCTGCGTTCATACTGATCCCGAAGTCCGGGAACAGTTCCAGCACAGCGCTCATCTCGAGCACTGTGCCGGAACTGTTTGGGGGCCTTCAGGATCAGTATGAACGCAGCCTAACACGTCACGCACGCCGCAATCGTCTCTTCCCTTGTTTGCTTAGGCAAAAGCCGCCGCAGGGTGTGTCGCGCGCGACGGTGGTCCTGTGCGGAAAGCATTACGGTCGTGCGAATCGCCCTACACCCTCCGGCGCTAGTCCCTCTGCGTCAGGAAGTCTCGTCGTTGCAACAGGAAATCTCGTCGTATGCAACATCTCGTCGTTGCGATAAGAATGTTGTCATGTGCAACAGGAAGTCCCGTCGTTGCAACAGGAAATCTCTTCGTATGCAACAGGAAATCCGGTCGTTGCAACAAGAATGTTTTCATCTGCAACAGGAAGTCCCATCATTGCAGCAAAAGATGTCGTTTGTGCAACAGGAACCGTCGTTGCAACAAGATGTTGTCATGTGCAACAGGAGATCTCGTCGTTGCAACAGAAAATGTCGTCGTATGCAACAGGAACATAGTTGCACAGTATGCTGCTCGACTGCGCTTGCCATGTCAAACGCGCCAAGCGTAATCCTCGGGTAGGCGGGGCGTGACGGAAGGGCGGAGCTAGCATTAACTGCAGGTTCATTTCCCTTTCTCAGGGGCCACATTACATTAGGACCGGAAAAACGTAGATGCTTCACATCTTGAGGTTTGTTTGTAGACTACATAATAAGTAGGCTGTCTTCAAACTACCGAGGACTAGTCCCTCGCAATTCAGAAATGATAGCAAAGCAGCAAAACATATGGATTCGACTATCCGCGCGTGCGCATGCAGCTGACTTCCCCCCGAATCGCGCTAGTTCTGCACTTTCACATCGCAAAGCCCCTCTTCGACAACATGTTTACTTCCTGCTCCTACTTTTCCGCAGAAATAAGTGCATGTGATGCATTAGTGGAAGTTCTGCGGAAGCATGTGTCGTATTAAGTACCGATGCGGCCCTCGTGCACACGTTATCTTTCCGTTCTTTGGTAAATATTCTTTGGTAAAGTAATAAGTCATCTAACGACGTGGAGGAAACGTTAGCGCAATGGTATTTCCCGCTCTGCTTGTTTTGCATCCTCGCATCATTGCCGAATTCTTTGTTCCACACCTACATGTGTTACACAATTCTGCGACATCATTTGCCGAAAATCATATGAATTGCACGCAAAGGCCACATGACGGTTAATGGAATCTGTTCTCCTAATCAACGTATTCTTGACATGATAAAAAAATTTCCATCCTATTTTATTTGATTTGTTAGGTTTTTTTTCGATTTATTGTGTCTCTTTGTTGAATTCTAGGTGTTTTTTTTTTAATTTTGCTTCATCTTCTTTATTTTATCATGTGGTGGGTTTATCTTCTCAAACACTTCTCAAGCAGTAGTAGGCGGTAGCTCTAGCGAAACTCTTCAATTCTGAAAGTTAGAAAAATAAGCACGAGTCTAGGGCATCAAAAAATAACCCGGAATCAAATGACAAAATGCTAAAGCAGTAAATGGTTCTTTTTTGATTCGATAGATTAAGTAATCGTTTTGAAGTATTTGTCATCAAGGCGACCGTCTAGCTCCATGTATTGCTTTAAAAAAGTAGAAACATACTGCATCTAAATTTAATCAAAAGTTCAACTACCCGCTAATGAATACGCTCGTCAAAATTCAATTTTCATTATTCAAACCCCCGATGATATGGAGAAGAGTGTGAAAATGTTGTCAAAAAATGCATTGTCAATTCTAGTCGCTCTATGTGCGTTCATTGTGCATTTTTATATTCCAGTGCAAACTAGGGGCAGCACAAAATCCTCATAGAGAGACGAACACATTATCAAAGCTTTGCCCCCCCCCCTACTTTTTTGGATTGTGATTTCCGAATGGTGAAATTCGGGTTACGGATCAGATCATCATAACCGATGTTGCTATAATAACCTGACATTGAGAAATTGTATTGTATTATGAAATCGTAAAAAAATTTTAAAAAGAGAACTCGCGATTTTTCTATTACTTGATTTTTAGCTACATCTGTTTAACTACGTGTCTGGCCGAAGCTATCACTTAGCTTGCACCAGAAAGCTAAAAATTCATCTGAAGAAATGTTTGAAAAACGTTTATTTCATGTGTACTTATTGTAACATGTGTGACTGCTTTATTTTACTATGTTTGAAATTGTTATTTTTTTAATATTTTTGGAAAGAAAAGAAATCTCAAGTTGGAAAGATCGAAATCTGTGGGACATCCAGTCATCACAAATCTCTCACATTCAGAAAGAGGAGATTTTGGTAGAAATGAGTTTAACATTAAAGACAATCATAAATTACGATTTAAATATCTCTCTTTTGATCAATTTGTATCACCATGTTAGCAACACGGATTACTGTTCAAGCGCTATTAGAAAGCGTACGATTTTTTTCCCAAAAATATGTTATTGTACGAATCTGTTGGGACCATGAATACTTGAGATTTTCAAAGAAATTTCAAAATTTCCATTAACGTCAGGTAAGTCTACTTCATCGTCGGACCTTTTTCAGTCTTACATTTCGCTCGAATTTGCCACTTATAATCTCACTAAGTAGGCGAATTTACCAGCTCCCAGTTTTTCCCAGTCGTAGCTAGTCATGCAGCTCTTAATGGGCCGGCTGCAGAAAAATTCTTGCAGCGCCATCGGCGGTAGCGGCGAGACTAGTTCGGAAACGAGTGTGTCTGTGCTGTGTGTCACACTCAGGCGGCATCGATCTGCTTGCTGCTGCTGGTGGTTGGTGCTTCGGACGGAGTCTGCAAAACTGCGTCCGCTCGTCGTTCACATTCACATAACAGCAGCACACATATCACACGCATCACCGACTGCAGCAGCGCGACGTCGCGCTGCTCGGCAATCGCGCGTACCTTCGCGTCACTTGTGACTCCCACGTCCGCTCGCGCGCGCGCCCTCACCTCTCTCAATCATCGTGCGATCGCGCGCTCGCGGAATCGCAGCAATCAGCTCTGACTAGCACGATGCTGTGCAAGTCGCGCTCCTCTCAGCTGTGCTTTGCTCATCTCTTCTTTTTCTTCATCTCATCGCAACGCATTGTTAACCATCGCCTCGGGGAAAACCCCCTCGCATTCCTCTGTTCCTCTTCTCTTAGGATAGCCTCTCCAACGCATACCGAGCTGATTTTTTCTTGATCCATCACTGGAATGAAAAATTATCTACTGTATGACTAAGAGACTCTTGTCCTCTCTGCGCACATGTTCAAACAAGCTTGAACTTGTTCTTCTCCGATTCCAGGACGCAAATAATCTTACATCATGGTGCATACTTCACGCGGTTTCATTCGCGAGGCGATTTGGCAATATTCCAAATGTTCATAACTCATTGTGAGCGCTTTTGAATGTGAGGAAGATAGGGCAATTCATCAGTTCGCAAAAGCTTTACTCATTACGCATTTGTGATCGGCAAGTGTCGCATTCAAAGACATCTGGCAAATTATCGAAGCATCGCGACTGAAATCGCCTGAAGTATGCCTGGACCTCTGGACGAGATAGATCACAAGTATAATAGTTGTGCAACTTGTTCAACACGATCAGCCTTGTTTGGACAATTGTGCAAAGTGATCTCCAGTCTCCTAGTCGTAGAATAATAATACATGTATGGCTATAAATTTTTCAAGCTATGTTTGACACCTTTTGCCTTCAAGGAAGACTAGCGCTAAAAATTCCTTGCATACCTTTGCTGTCTCAAGCCTGTCACTTTTCTCATGTGTCAATTTGCAAAAAAAAATCCGTGCTAAAGTAAACATAAGCACTCATTTTATCACAGTACTACTAGGTTATCTCGGCAAAAATAAGTAGTATTAAATAGGTTGGCTAAAAATGATTTCATGTTGGCTTGAAAATCTCTAAGAAAAATTCTGAAATTCTAAATTTCTATAATGATTTCTATCTAGCAGAACATACATTCCAATTCTCATGAATTGCTCTTTCTAGATATACCAAACATCGGATAAGAATTTGTCTGCAATATATGTAGGAGGTGCAAGAGCGACCGAAATCATTTATTAGCCAACCTTGTACATTATAAAATGTTGTTTTAGCCTATGTAAATGATCCCTGCTCAGACAGTAAAGGGTATCAAAGACAATAATGTGACTGTTTTTGTTGAGCATTTGGACTATTGTAAATAAAGGAAATTGGCCGGAAATTGTAGCCACTGTCTAGTGTCTACCATACAATTGTATTTCGCTGCCTTTATTGAAACCTCTTTCTAGATTTTTTCCTTAAAAAACGTCTTCTTATAGCAGAGTCTCTACAATTTCAGAATTTCCCAAATTTCAGAACACATTATGCCTATTGTCGTTACCGGCCCTCCAGTGTCTCCTTATCAGCCATTCCCGACCAGGAAGGAAGTCTTGGGCAAAAGCTTGAAATTCGTGCATTGCGGACAGATCATTACTCAGGATAAGGATGCGCTAAGCGGATGTGGGACACGAATGACTCCCGAACGATTGCTAGCCACACTTTCAGGCATTATAGTGCAGTGGAATAAGCTATATATTGTAAATTCTCCCAAATCCAAGTACAGTCCTAAACGAGGCGACATTGTGATTGGAAGAGTCACTGGCATTGGGAAGGCTTCATGGCATTTGGACACAAATCACCGACTTTCTGCAGAATTGCGTCTGCAGAATACGAGTATAGCAGGCGATGAACCGAGGCGGAAGAATCTGGAAGACGAAATTGCTATGAGCGACTATCTCAATGTGGGCGATTTGATATGTGCCGAGGTGCAGCGAATTGGCGTCAAAGGAAAATTGGAGCTGCAGTCAAGGGGCGGCTTGAAAAAGTTCGGGCAGGGTATTTTGCTCAAAATGTGGCCAAATTCGGTCAAAGCATCAAGGAAAATTTGTCAAGTTCTTGACATCACTATAGTAGTCGGCTGTAATGGTTTTGTATGGGTTTCGTCAGAAGTTTCATCATCAAATTATGGCGAGAACATTACTTCTTCAACTACCATAGACAAGAACCAAGTAGTGCTTAGGATTGTTGCCTGTATACGCATTTTAACGAAAACAGGAACCAGAATTGATGACAAGACTCTTATTTCGTTGTATCACTTATCCATGTCTCACGAAGTCAAGGATTTAGCTAATCCCCATATCTCTCAAGCACTCATTTCTGCCACGAGGTGTCTTAAAAAATAGCGGAATAAGCAAGCTAGGGGAATAAGATAATCTATCCACGAGACTACAATATTTTACGTGATAACTGTTGTTTACACCATTAATGCGTTGTTGCCTTGTTTCCATGGTATTGCACTTTGTTAATCCTCCAGGAATGGAAACTCAACAAATTGTCAACGCTTTGGTGGTCATGTGTGTGTGACGACGTTCTGCGAGGTGTCATCACTTTTTGCTATGTTTAGCGCTAGGAATGTGACTAAAGTAAGAAGTGCAGACATTTACATTGTTATATAAACAAAGTACAAAGAGCGAAAGTAGGTGAGATTTCGTTACATTTGGAATTATTCGCACTTTGTATGAAGACAGTACTAGTTCATAGTTAGACAGATTTGATAGATTCGTTCGCAGCTCACCTTTCAACATCTCAACTGCTGATGAATTTTTTTTTCTGCCGTCACATGTTTGTGAGGATCGCGTGATTTTAACTCTCCACAGACCTACATTTCCATGAGTTATTTAGAGGATTACTTTTACATGAGTTATTATGAGGACTGCTATTGTCAGATATCATCTCTTTCTTTTCTTATGGTTAGATGTTTCTTTCGAAAATTGTCTTGATCATCGGAAACTTGCTCTTTCTCTTCTGGCCTGTATGCATTATTCGCTCATTCTATCTTTTTTATGAAATTCTTCTTCGCTTCTATCATATCGAGGCTTTAATTCTTCAAACATGTGTTGTTTTGCAAATACACGTGCAGTGGCAACACTTACCGACTTATGAGCGTGGAATCTCTGCCACAATTCTTCGCTAAAGAGATTCACGGCAATGATGTCATTGCTATAATTCAAGCAATTGGATCGTTGCAGTAACTTTTTGCATTTTGTATTCAGTCGCTAGCTTTTTTCTAGGCACTTTGAGGAATATGGCTCTCCTGCCAGTAAAATTGGGGAAATACTTGGGAATATGGCAGAGTAACTGCAACTATAAGTTGTTAGGCTGCTAAATAAAACAAAACTGTTGCTAGAGTTATGTGGTCTGCATGGGAAAGATACAAATTACGATGAAAAAATGTTCACTGAATTTCTCCGTGCTAAATTATAATATTATTTCATGTTGTCTTTTTTGCCATTGAGGAGAAGTGAGTCTAATAACCGTTAAGCTGAGGTGTAGTCCCAAATAACTGATACATAGTGGTGTTCTGCAGTTGCAACGATTCCAGCCGGCAAGCAGTTGTTGCAGCTGCAGAAAATGGAGGCTCTTCTACACCGATAAAGTTGCTGCAACAGCTAGTGATGTTGAACCTCACCGGGTCTTTACCTTACCGAAATGTCGAGCTGGTAATCTAGTCGCAGAAACAAGAAATAGTTAGCTTAGATGCTACTTTCTTGCTGCAGCAACCAATGTCTTATTGCAGATAAAATTTTCGTGTTTGCAACCTCTTCCTTCTGTGAGTCCTCCACGATTTGCAATTGCAGCAAGATCGCCTCAGCTAAACAGATGGTAAACTCACTACTTTTCGAGACTCCACTGTAGTTGTTGCAGCTACAGATCGTGAGACACATGGAGCTCTCCCACATTGATAGAGTAGCTGCAGCGCTATCATGATTTGCTTACAGCGACAAATGCTAGCGATTTGACACGTTTGGTCAATGTAGTCGCTGCAGCTACATTCCTCTTTCACAATGATGGAGTTGCTGCAACAGTTGAAAATGCTGCAATCAGACAACTTGTCAAGGTCGAAGTTAAGACAACGGCAGTGGAGTTATTGCAGCAAGTGCTTACTTCTGCGAAGTAGTTGCAGCAACAGTTGTTGAGGCTCCGCAGCAATTGCACGATAGTGTTGCAGCGGCAACTGCTAGCATGTTGAGTTCCACAAGTAAATATGCAGTTGCTGCAACAGCACAAGCTTTTAGAATGCATAATGAATGGCATGACGTAGAATTTCCGTGCACATACTCAATTTCAATCTATAAAGCTCTTTTTGTATAGAAAAAAAAACGAATTCGCACTTGTCGTACACATTTCTCAATAGTACTGGCGCCACATCATAATCCCATCACTAGTGCTGTGCGACATGTGCCTTTGAAAAAGTACAGAATGCATTTGTAACGCAACATTAGGCGAAAACAATGTCAAACAAGAAATTTAGACAACTATTTCTGAACTCCCTTCAATTCGAGAAAATGAGGGCAGACTACTTTCAGCAATCTTACATGATGAGCTCCATGGACATTCTAGCAGTTATATCCTAGTGCTTGTTTTCTTAAATTCTCACTTCCTTTTCGACCCCGTCTTCCTTCATTCTAGGCGAAGCTATTCTGAGATTGTTATGCAGTAGCTTCCTCTTTGCTTGCTATTCTTCATGGCATTTCTTGTTGAATGCAATATCTACGCTCCACTGATATATCTCAAAATAGCTGCTAATCTATCTGTGAGTCATTTCTCCATCGCAGTCTAAAGGTCCTTCTCTGAAAGGAGATGACTTTTCGTTGTCGTTCAAACTACTCAGCACATGCTCAAGTGGAGTAGTCATTTCCTTAAACCCGATTAACCCTTTATCATTCAAAAAACCAAACCAGGAATCCGATCAAAACGTGTTGTGCAACATTATCGATAGCGAACGTGTGTTTTGAATCCATATTTGAGTGATACGCGTTCATAATCAAACTTGATGAATTTTTTCGCTATTTGCACTTTGTGTTGTCGACATTCGCCCACTGCATCATTCCGTGACACCACCGCGGCTGACCGGCTTGTTTGTCCTGAGCTGTGCGTACCTCTTCTCCAATTTTCCACATCGTTGGAGAATCTCTGCAAGTTCGTTGTGTTAATAAGTCAACCTTCCATTGTCCGCACATCGCCTCTTGTTGCATGTAATTAGTTCAGACACGGTAATATGAGGTTTTTCCACTTGATGACGTCCCCTTATGGGGCTGTTGATGAATTCTGTGCACATACAGTGTGCCCCAGCTCCGTCGTGTCGTTACCAAGGGAAACGCGGCTGCAGTTTGTGTTAACAAAGTTCTCGTCTCTCTTCATTTGCCTTCAGCTGCAGGCTTCTTGAACGCCGTTCGAGTTAACACTTTGTTAGTTCTCGTCTAGCTCTAGAAAATGGAATTTAAATTATTTGTTTCGCTAAATTTGCAGTGGGATTCTGATCCATTATCCGAGAACGAAAAGATTTCCTTGTTTCAGCGTTGTCTTAGTGTTTCTCAGATGAGATAAGCGAGCTCGGGCGAAGATCATCCATCCTCAAACAGTGCATAATGCTCAATCTAACAGATAGATTTTTCTTTGACATCAAGGCTTAGTAATAGCTTTATTTTACCTATTGCACTTTACAGCTACAGTCCAAAAAAAGCCTTGGTTAAGAAGTCGTTCGACGTAAATACTCTGGACGTAATTGAGTAGGGTATCCTAAGAACAAAACCCTCTTCCTCTGATTGATGTTTTTGCCACCATTCATACTTACCAGCTAATCCTCCGTAAGCTTTAGTCATCAATTTAATAGACTCGTACGCACGTTCTATTCTCAGCTAGAGCTTTTTCAACAGCTTGTGTTCCAGAACGTTCTCCTGTTCTTCATGCTAAAGCAAACTAGAAAGAAGGAGTGACGAAATGTTTGTGCTGTGCTTCATCTTTCAATCTTCCACACTGTCGCCATTTGCACTCGCACTCGCACCAGCACGTGCATCTATACGTTGACGTTGGTATCGACGTAAGAGACATTAGGGACGTTAATTTAGACAACGGGTAGAGTGTGGGCGGGTTTCATTTGTGTGCGTCTGTAAGGTTCGTCTGATCGTTCAACGTAGTGCGCCGCACTTCTTTGTGCGAGCAAATTCTTCAATATTTGTCCTCAGATGCGTAAACAACTTTTTATCCTTTGTGTTACTCACTGTCTCCGTGTCAAGTTACAGTGACATCATCACGAGTGCATACTTATCAGAGAAAATGATTCGAGAATTTTTCTCGCGGCATCCTGTCTTGTCAGTCAATTATTCTCGTCTATTGCGGGACTTCGCATACTCACTAGAATGAGAGTTAGCGCGCTCTACTGCAGCCGCGCGCGGCGCAGGTCGCAGAAGCGCGTTTTCCTGAGGCGAGGTCTGAACTCCTGCTTTCTGCGATGCAGTGTATCCTGAACAATGATTGATAGCTTCTGCCTTGAATCTTGATCAATATATGCCAAAATTTTGCTTTTCTGTTCCCGTCCTGGTTTACGTCCCCCTTGTGTCATAAACCACTGCATCGAGTTTGTTTTAAGCTCTAAATACGCTTAGTCACTTATTTATTCTTGGCCAAATGTTGGTGTTTGTGTTTGCAGAAGGTCACAGTCCAAACCACATTCTTTCCCCACTCCTCCCACCCCCTAGTAAGTTCGCCCGCCCCGCCCTCGCACTCCACTCGGTTTTCTCTCTACTTGCGTCAGCACTCGATATGCATTAACGCAAACAGTCTTCTAACTTCGTTTTTTTGTTCTTCTTTGTTAGCAGACTTTGTCGTCGGGGTTTCAGTCCCCTTCTCCTCCCCCCCCCCCTCCTGTTTGGCGTCACTTTTGCAAAAAGCGCCGGCAAACTTTTGTCTTGCAAATGTGGTGATTATTTTTGCATGACGTTTGCGAGAGATATTAATATTTTGCAGCGTGTCACTTTCGTCGTTTTTCTTGCGTATCCCGTAATTGCGGCTTGCAGCTGGTGTTTGATTGCCTCGATATCTCTTCAGACGCGAGGAATATTCGAAAAATTCGTCTTCTTTGACGACATCCCACATTTCTCCTGCTGTGAAGGCCAAAATTAGTTTTCTCTATATGAGACACTTCTGACATCATAGCTTTCACGTCAGTCTGCAATGTTCATTTTGATGCAGCGATGCAATTCTGAGCGAATCGGGTTATTTTTGGGAATGAGACGATGATATGAGCAAAGCATCTACAGCGAAGTCATTTGCAATTGGATATGTGCAATTGCACGCACCGCGGGGCACCTTACGACTACATACTGGTAAGCGGTTGTTTTCAAGCAATCTTTCAATGGGACCTACTATCAAGAAATGACTGCTGCACATCCATTTAAACTTGGAAAAGGAAGAAAACAAAAGTAAACCCTGGTAATAATCGACATTTGTTAATGTAGAAGTTGTAATGTACCTCGCATATTCTGCAATGCACAGCAAGTCACAAATGACTCGACTTTCACTAGAACCAGGCCTTCTTTTTTTCGCATTCTGTTTCTTCACTCCCACACACCCCACGACAGGTTCGGAACTGGTCCCACCAACTTTCGAGTGTCATTAGTTTTTTTTTGGAGCATGCCGATGATTTAGATGGGTTACTTAGCTTTAGAATGCGCATCATGGCCATTGCGCAACAAAAGTGCAATAGAACTAGTTCTTTACTTCCTCATTTTGGTGCTTAATGGTGGAATGGCATGTTTGTTTTCAATAAAAAAACTTTACTAATGTAATCGAAGGTTACAAGTTCTGGACAATAGGCTGCGAAGAAGTTGACTTGTCGTCGTGTCAATTGTAATATGTGAGGCTGCACACTATGTTAGGCAGCTGACGACATCCTTATCACTAATCGCAGAATTTCTAGCGTGACAAATTGTAGAAATGTGTATCAGCAACTGTTACATAGCCTTCGAGCCAAAAGATAAAGAATACAAGGAGAAATCATTGGAAGTGAGCAAATTCCAATCTTACAGTCGTCACATAACGCGCAGTCCGGGATATAATCGGTTGTGTTCTCTAGCTAATGTGTGCAAGTGCACATTTTAGTATGGTAGGGGGTAGAATTGGCCTTGGGCTCAGACTTCTTGGTTTCCTTTTTTAGGGATATCTTGCTCTTCTTATGTGGGAGATCAATCTCCCATCGTCAACATCCTTCAAAATGTGCAGTTGCACAATCAACAAAGAGGCCTGCTTTGTACTTTTACGCATCAACAATCGAATCATCTCTAGACTTCTCCAGATTTTGCCACCTGCGGAAAGCGCACATAACCGACACGGTACTGGCATGGTACCGACACGGTGCCAATGCGCTAAACACTAAACAAAGGGACAATGACCGCAGGACTACACAGCAGACTTCTTCATTTCTTCTCTTTGTTGTTTTGTTCGTTCTACTCTTGCTGTTCATCGATTACATGTCTCGATGCGTGTGTGGTGTCTGCTAAATTTGTTTTCACCAGACTAGTCTACGGCATTTGCAATCGCTTTCGCCCAGCATCCATCGCTCCATCTTTGATAAACAGATTTTTTCAAAATTCACTGGCAGAAATTTTTCTGCAAATGCTGATGACGCGTGCCCGAAGGGCTACATCTGTTTCTTTGAATTCCGCGTTTTCTTTTACTACGATTTTATGAGCGCAAAAAAAAAGACTTGCTGGTATGAGTCATACCGTGTCGCTTCCGTTACTTCAGTTGCACGCTTTTTTTTCAGCCGAAACTTTGGAAATTATGACAATTTACCTTCCGATACCTTTACCTTCCACAACATTTTGTTAATGTGTCGCAATCAGACACTTGCGAAATTTTAGGTCACTTCGTCATCATTCAATTCTCCGCCTTCACCCACTATACTTTCGTCATTTGCCAATTCCATATTTGTTCCAATTGCCGTCACAATCCTGTTGAGTCTCAAGAAACCCGCTATCTGACATAATGATATTTGATTATTTGCGTTTTTCTGGAATTTCTTGGTCTTATCGAAAGACTTTCACTTCCCGATAGTCCTGCAGAGTTTTTCAGCAAATCTGGTGAGAAGGGGGGACTTTGCACCCAGAGGGCAGGCACTTCAATGTACTGAATGAAGGGGCTACTATCTTTAGAAAGAAATTACAATCTTTCCAATTGCATATAAACGCTATAAACTTGTTTTTAAGAAGCAAGGTAGGCGGTTCCCACCATTCACTATTTATAAAACTCAATTTTTTATCATCAAAAGAATAAGTCATTCAGGTTTCCACGATTCTACACAATCTCACAAGTTACGCTTCAAAACATTTTCGTTCCAAATTTATTTCGATCTATTTCATTGCGTAACTTTTTGACATCACGAAGCTAAAAGTATTCGTGAAAAAAATCTCTCTTGTGCCATCAATCACTTTTTTTACATCGTACAGTGTTTGACTGTGAGATTCTATTTTGGTATCCTTTTTTAGGTGCAAAAAAAAGAAAAAGGAAAAAGAGGTGCACTCTGTCAATGTTTGTGAGTGTACGATTTGTATGTGAGCAATTCTGGGGATGTGTAAAAAGCATACTGTAGTCCGGAAGTAACCTTATAACAGCAGCTGTAACGGGGTGTAAAAGTTATTTTGCTTCCGCTCTCAACTGGCTTTTGTTCTAGAATTGTACTATCACATATTCAGATAGGAATATTTCTTAAAATAATTAGAAAAATTGAAGTTCAGTACAATCCAATGATCAATTGTACTCTTGTTAATTAAACATGATGACTCGGCGAGTAATCAAAACTTATATGTACTGAGACTTTATCAAAACTTACTAGGCATGCCCATGACCAGTCATGCGCCCTAGTAATATCCTTTGAACATTGAAGGTTCTTCGTACTCAATCAACTGTGGGAACTGGATTTGTTGGCTTCTGTGTTCATTCTTTGCTGGCTACTTTATACTCCAAACTTTGTTGTCTAGAAGGAAGTGTTCTTGTGTTTATTTCAATTAGTACTAAATAAATAAATTAGCGCAAAATTCTAATGCCTCATGAATCACCTATGACCAAGTAGTAGGGAATTTACCTTGGATGTTTGCTCTTATTTTTTAAGTAGGCACTACCGTAACCCCCATAGGTACCGTACACTCGGCAGATGGAAGTTCCTACCGTAATCCTACTGTAATCCTAAAATAATGAAGACCGATAGGTTCTGCACTCTCAAACAAAGACTGTAAGTCACAAAGCCCATATTCAGAATAAGTTCGCCCAGTTTTTTAAGAGAAGCGTAGCCTCCTGGAATCGTTTGCGGCTTTTTCGAGTCTGAGCACAAAACTCGTGGAAGTTATTACCGTAATCTTACAGTGGTAGAGAATGATAGGGTTTTGTACTACAAACCTAGTAGCCGGTCGTATATACTAAAAATCAATCATATTTTATATCGTGCTTTTTTTGGTATACTTTACCGTACTCATTTGGGGAACTATCGCTTGTGTCAGTAATTGTTCCCATAGATAAAAAACGATCATAATTTTAATTTGTGGCGAATTTTTGCTATGTAACCTAGCAATGAACTAAATAATATTCTGCTTGCATCATCTCTCTCCGTTGATAAATGTATCGCAAAACTTACAATGCCACAGCTTTTCATAGAAAAAAAACGTCACAGTGTTTGCTCACAAGCAGCTGTTTTCTGAGGCGAAGCATTAGAGAGCGAGACTCGTCATCGCTGATTTGCAATCTTGCAGTTATATTGTTCTCTGCATTTGCAGAATGGCTTGCTTTCTTTGCAAACCAATTCCGCTCTCGCTTTCTTTCAAAGCGAAGATGTAGTCTTCTGTTTTGACTGCTACAAAGGGGGAGAGGAGAGAGAGAGCTTTGTGTTTCGCAGATATCGCATAGCAAAAAGACCGTTCAAAGACCACATACTGTCAAGACCAGTTTTCTGCAATTGCACGGAATGTTCTCGTGATTAACATGGTCGTCGCGCACAGCGATGCTGCTGCTTTCGTCATCCAGTGGCTTTTTCTCGCTTTGCATTCGGTTATAGCTTATCCCGACATCGAACATATTTGCACAACTACAGTAATCCAGACTGCTGTTGCAGCAACACGAGCCATTGTTGCGAAGCTAGGTGTGCACAATCGCATTCTATCTCCTTGAAGGAGAAGTCTGCAAATGCAGAATCTGTTTTTGCTAGGCTACAGTATCCGCTATGCTGTTGCAGCAACTTGAGCCATTGTTGCAAGGCGTCTCTGCAGAATCGCATTCAATCTCCTTGAAGGAGAAGTCTGCAAATGCAGAATTCGCTTCCGTGTTGTTCTTTTAGTCCCCATTTCTCGATGAAAAACGCTTGAATAATCAATCTTTTGGCGATGACCTTATTATTCTAGAATTTTCGCGTTCCATCATCGACCATCATATGATATGGTGCCGTCATTGCAGGGTTTCTCCATGAGATTAAAAGCATTCTGCAATTGCTTTGCTGATCTCTTGATTAGTTGGCAAAAAGGGGTTGAGGTTTCTTTTATTTTTCTCGGAGAAGAACGATTTTCTTTGAAATCTGTGTAGCAATAATCTATAGTCACAATAAAATTACCTGCGAAGCTTTCTTTTTCCTATAATCACCTCACGCCCACATCGTATTCCCGACCCCCTATCATTGATCTGTAAGAGTACGGTCTGGGCGAGAGTTTGAAGTTAGATTTCTCGGCAACGAATGAATGATATAAGCCGTTGCTTAAAGGCAGCGGACAGGCAAAATGGACCCCTGTCAGATTTTGGTAGTTTCGGGTAGTGGACCCCCCAAGTACACCGTAGCCCCAACCCCACATTCCAATTCATGCGCTAAGTCCTGAAAAAATCGCTTCAAAACTCCACCAACCCCGCCCATTTCCATTGAGTGGGCGTTATTGGTGGAAGTTTGAAGCGCTTTTTTCAGGACTTAGCGCATCATCTGGAAGTTGGGGTTGGGGCTACGGTGTAATTGGGGGGTCCACTACCCAAAACTACCAAAATCTGACAGGGGTCCATTTTGCCTGTCCACTGCCTTTAAGCAAGGTTTAGCTGGGGCTTTCCATTCAGTATCTCCTTGATTGGGAGAGGAACGAACCGTCAATGGGTGGACACCCCGTGGACAACTGTTCCTTCCGTACATAGCAATGCATATTCTGTGAGGAATAGTAGTCCGCGGAAATTCGCTTGCTGGCGAAATTGTTACTCCACTTTTTTTCTCACCCAGTGCTCAAATTCTAAATTTAGCTCGCTTCTATCTGTTCATTGAGCAAATTCTTGCTTCTTCTTTTTCATCTGCACCGCAAAAAATTTCCTTGAACACAAGACACATTCCATAGCTTTTCTTTTTGCACAAGTTCTTTGAACAAGTGTGGCTGAAGATGCGCGGCTCATAAAAAACTCGACTGCAATCGGGTTTGAGAATGCAGAACCAGCTAGATGTTTCGTGTTTTTGCTTCAGCCTCACAGAAGTTGTAAAATTCCTCTCTAACTCAAAAAAAAAAACGCTCCTACGCACTTCGCTGTCATTTTCCGCACTTTCCTCTCGCTTTTAGTTCGAGTTCCGCTTTTTCTACATAGTCTGTGCTTCTGCTTTTTGCGAGAGTGCGAGCGAGGAGGCGCCACACATTTCAGATAGAGGCGTGTAAATACGTAGGTCAGTTGTAATGTGACGAAAAGTGCAATAAAGCAATAGAATCCGGTTCACAGGGTATCTCTGCGGGAGTGTGTGCTGTGCTGTGTGTGTGTGCCTGTTTGTGTGTGTGTATAAGCAAACGGCACGAAGAACTCGTGCAAGATTCTCACACAGTTGGCTCTCACAGCTTGTTCTAAAAGTACGGCAATTTTCTTTTCATTTTAACGCTGCTTCGCGTCGCGAAAGGTGACGACATCTCTGCGCAGAACTCGTCTTTACACTCGTCGCTATGCCCAATTCCTTTAGTTTCTAGTTTTCTCACATTCATTTACTCTTGAAGTACCTTTGCGCTTACTCTACGTACCTGTCTTCTTTAAATTATAAAAATTCACAACAACAATAATTTCAGATGTCAATCTCCATAGTTTGTCCGTGCTGTCATTTCGGTGATTTGGAAACACCGGAACAACTTTGTGATCACGTATCAACTGTGCATAAAACTCCGGCACCTATTCATGAACATTTTTTCGACGATGGTGATCAGTTACAGGTAAATCATTTATCTCCCTATTTTTGAAACATATTTAGCTTTTGCTCTTTTTGGTATAATAATCAGGCGGCAATGATTCTTGATCAACTATACAAATTTACTAACAAAGCCGTCCCTGAGCAAATATTCAATCTCTTGATCCTCGTTCAGACCGTATTCTCTGCCGTAACGAGGGAACTGAGATTGGTTAGCTCTGAGAACACGGTCTGGGCGAGAGTTTGAGGTTTAGTTTCCCGGAATGAAACATATTCGTCTACATAAAATTTGAGTACCCATAAACTCTTATAACCTATAAATGTTACTAGTTGACCCATCACATGACAACTATGCTTTTTCGTAAGCGTGTTCTATTCTTAGATCGTATTCTCTACGTATTAAGGATTTAGAGTACTGTATGGACGAAACTTTTAGGGTCCAATTTTCTGAGCCAATAAAACATATGAGATGTTGCTTGGGCTTGACATAGTTAAGGCCTCCCACTTAGTATCCAAATAAGTTCAGTTTCTCTTACTCATCAATCTCTCGATTTCGGATCGGGCGCTGTGCTACCTATAAGCGGCCACCCGATCGGGCGATAGACACATAAATGCTACTAAATGGTGCCCAATTAGATATCAGATACCGGTAGACTCTCAGATAACCACAAACTCTGCCCCGAACATAAAATCGTTTTCTTCCTGTGTACGTTCATCTCTTACTTCCCGTCTTTAGGCTTGGCTATCCGAAGTGGAAGACTCACGTACTGAAGGTGGTTACGTTGGCTCAGAAGAAGGTCCATCCAGTGACGATAAGGTCAGTCCCGATACTCATTCTCTCCTTTCCCCATTGGATATATAATTCCTCCTTTCAGGAATACTATTTGCTGTGTCGAAGACGTGCATCTCCATTGCTAAAGCGACGTCGTCTGACCGAATCCGCGCGGTTTAGTGAAGCCGAAGGAAACACGGTCTCATGCACGGCTTTCGTCCACGTAATGGAAAGAGTTGATGGGTGAGTTCCTGTGCAGAAAACGAAGCGATACAATCGCAGCCGTTTGGCCTTGAAATGTCGCATTTTCTTGCGTTGCAGATCGGTGTACGTGCGATTCTGTTTGGAGCATGCCGGGCACGTTCCGTCCGATCAGCTGAGACAATCGCCGCCACCTGTCTCGAGAGCCAAAAGAAAGAGGCGAGTGATTTGTGGCTGTTTACTCAGCCCCTACCTGCTCCTGCTCACTAAATTTTTCCCGTTTCTCGTTACAGATCGAATTTGAAACGCCCTGCACAAAGTATTAGCGATTCGTTGACGAACTCGGCTGAAAGCAGTGTACTTTTGGTGAGCACACAAATATTTTCATAGCCAAGTGCGTTAGGTCCATGATATGCCTTATTTCAAGCCTCACAAACAGACCACAACAGATCCGCCTGTTATCAAAGATGTCGAGATGATATGTGGTGATGTCATTGAGGACAATAACAATATCGACCCTCTACGAAAGGTAAAATATACATTTACACTAGTTTAGAGCTTTCAAATTTTAAATTTCGCTCAAACTCTACATATTCTACATATGAGAGTTATTATCATCTTGCTCGTTGACCTCTCCGAGGAGTTACAGTAAGTATACAGTAAGGGCTCATTATCTCAGAATTTGCCAAGACTTTGTACATAAGGTTCATTTTGCATGCTAGGCTGTTGTTAGCGGAGTTACGGTAGGTATACGGTAAGCACACAAAATCCCATTAGTTGCTGAAATTTGCATTCGAGGATTACATTTTGCATAGTATGGCCTTTTTGATTGAATTACGGTAGGTGTACGGAAAGGCTCACAACTCTTCACTTTGCTGAAACTTAGCATACGAGAGTTATTTGGCTTCTAGGGCCCTCTCTTATTGGATTACGGTAGGTGCGCGGTAGCTGCTCAGGATAGAACTAAATGAGACTTTGCATGAAAGGCCTGGTTGACATGCTGATCAAGTCTCACCCACTCATAACGGTATGGGATTACTGTAGGATTACGGTGAGATTCTGATCGTGGTGTTCCGCAACTCCACGACAAGGTGCTACTATAACCAGCCGACACACAACGTCCTTGATTAGTAACCATACCGTATACATACCGTAACCTTGGTAGAAAAGGGCATGGCAGGCAATACATGGTCACTACCCAATCATTAGCATGGGAATGTGCAAAGTTCATGGGAATTTTGATGAAACTGGATCCTAATTTTAGTGAGGACAGGTCTTATAACGTCATGGCTTGTTTTGATTACTTTTATTACTTTACAATCTCGGAGCTGAGAATCTCTCACCACCTCGCAGGGTTAGAAATAAGACAGTTATTCTAAGAAAAGTACACAAGGGAATCTCTTTGCCCCCTTACGGTTCTAAGAATGTTATTCTGAGCAAAGTACACAGATGAGAAAATCTCGAAGCAAATATATTTAGCTCTCATTTTCTCATGCACCGTACACAATTTTCGAGTATGTTATGTTACACTGTAGCGAATCAGCGAAGTTTATATAAATACTGGACAGCTGGGTAATGTAAGCGAGCCCATTAGTTTTGTTTGACTCCGTCTAGCAAAAAGCGGATTGCGGCAGATAAAATGCAAACTAACTAATGAATTTGCAAAATATTAAAATTTAGGTGGATATGGGACCAGATGTTGAATTTGACACTTCGACAATCAATTCACAAATTACACAAAGACTCGATAATACCACGGATAGATTGAGAGTCTTAACTCAGGTAGAGATTGAAATCTATGTCTTAAAGGGGCAATTTGGCTTAAATTCTGAATTTTAGTAATTTCAGGTCCTAGCCGATCTTGCTGTGGATATCCATGCATTTGAAGAACGACAATGCGCTATTATGATTTGAAGAATTTTCTTCCTCAAAGGAATCCTCCCTTATTTGAGGCAGTGGATGGTTCATGCGCCCTATTTTTCTCATCTCGTCAATGGAGCAGTTCCGAGGCTGCAGCCAGAGTAGACCGTGTCAGCGCCATTCTAGCTAGAACTCACTTGCACGTGCCCATATTGATTGATCGACGTTCCGGCACGGCTCGACACGGCGTTGGCACAACGTTGGCGCGACGCTGGAATAGCTCTGGCACATAAGCAGTTTGAATGCTGCCTAAGAGCTGAAAATGATACTTGTCCCCTCACCCATGTAGATATACGAACATTCAAGAGAATCCGCGTGATTTATACCGAAGCATTGTCCAAAGCTTATTTTTTCGACTTTAACCTTTTTCAGAAATACGATATCGGTTTAGTCACAATATTGAAACTGTATAGTGCTGTTCGTTCTTTCATACCAGGCCAAGGCTCGACAATCCATCACACTCATCACTCACCTGACTGATTCCAAATCTTTTTTTCCCAAGGTCCCATGACATCTCCCAAAGTGCTCTCACTCTATCATCATCTTCTCAACTTTCTCAACTGTACAGTCTAAGAAGCAGCTAGAATTGTGCTCGAAGCTCTCAAAGAAGCGCGCTAGTCGTACAAGTGTATCTATTTTTGTACATGAAATTTGCTCGATACGTCTATACCCACGTTTAGAATTTTTTTTGTCGTTCCGGTTGCATTTGTATTAATGTTGTGAAAGGTGATCTAATTGACCGATTCGAATTTTTTTCTTTTTGATTGGGATTTTATGTTATTTTTCGATTCATAAAATGAGATTGTATTGTTTTATAAGTTATTAAATGAGTAAAAGATTCAATGCAGAATTTATTTTTGTTTTCCAGTACTAGGAAGCTGATACACAAATGGCAGAAAATAGCCTGAGAAGTCCTTTTTAAGCCCCCTCCAAAAATAGTCGCAAACTTTTCAAAAATAACCAACATAAGCTGCAGAATTGTGTAGGTAGCTTGTTTTCGTTTATAGACTGAGAGAATCTCCTGAGTCCTTTAAAAATCTGAATTATCCTCGTAAGAAATTTTTTGAGGTACATGCCTGCTTTTTCCAGATACGGTTAAATGTAAAAAATGTCCAAAAATTCGAAAAGCTTTTTTTCCTTTTCCTCCTCCCTGATTGTGAGAGGAAAAAATTTGTTAAACCGCCAATGCAGATAGGATTTTGTAGGAATATGCACCATAGGAACAATTCTGGTCATAGGAGAAAAGCAAACGAACCGAACAGAAAGGGAAACTGTATTTGAGCCTAGGCAAATTCCGTCTTCCATCTGCAGAGCAAAGTAAAATTGCCGTGCAAACAGCGATTGCCGTCATAACTTTAGGCCTTGGTTTATTCAGCCAAACATCATCGTGAATGCAAATGACATGAATAATGTATCAATAGCATATGGTATTTTGGCAGGATCGTTTGGAAACGAAGAAATTCACAGCATCAAAAGAAAGCAGGTTCAGGATGGCAAGAGGGAAACGCGGGATAAAATTGCAAATAAAATTCAGTGTACTCACCGATTGAGGATTTCCATAAACTACTCTACTTACAAAGCGCAAGGCCCAGCACGAGGTGGCATATGGAATCTTAAAATTCGGAAAATTACAAGAAACCTTTTGTAATGTTCGCAAAACAAAAGCTCTTCCGAAAATTTGTAACGAAAAAAAGTGGGTTGAAGTTAAGAAAAGAAGGATAAATCAAAGATTAAAAAGTGAAATGCGGAAAAAGGCTGTTATATAATTAAGAGCCGTAAGGCCTCGGACAGGGTTCACGCGATTTGATCGTCGCGATTTAGTCGCCGCGATTTTCATTCATTTTCATTTTACATGCAAAAATTTCGAGCTGGAAAAGTATCACAACCGAAATGCAAGCTGATCGTCATGCAATGAACTCGTAACAGTTGCCTTGTAGCGATTAAATCGCGACGATTAAATCGCGTGAACTCTGTCCGAGGCCTAACAAAGCGTGAAACTTGGATTAAGGTGAGTGCTGATAGATAGAGCTTGATCTAAAGAATAGATTTTTATAACAAGATTTACAAATTTGTGTGAGGAAGCGTGAAATCTATGAAGATTCATGAGTTTGTCTTGTCCTGCGCAACCTTAGGGTGCTCCCAGGTTGCGCGAAAGCAACCTAATATCGAAAAATACCTACAATCCTCTCGTTCATATAATTTTTTTTAAATAAATTTTCTCCTTTTCTTGATCATCGCCACGGATGTACACAAAAAAATTTGATAGCTCATTGCTTACTCGTTGTAAACAGACCGAATGTTTACATTTTTGTGCGTAAAGATTGACTTTTGACACGTTGAAATCGTGTGCACACATGTTCATGCACTTCAGTCGAGTTTTTAACGTATTATTTCACCCATAATGGGTAAAACTATGTTAGACCTTAAAACTCAGGCTTGCTAAGAGTTAGAGTTGTGCATTCTATATTTATTTATTTATTTATTTATTTTTGAATGCACATGACGTGCGCCAAAATAAAATGGCAGTTATCAACTCCAAAACAAAAAGCAGCAAATATTTCATCATCAATTGCATCGTCACCCTCTTCACTATAGCAACAGTTGTGCGATGTTAACTCTTTTTTTAAAGATTATCTGAATCCTAAACACTCCTAGTGTTGCTTCTCAATATTCAGTAGTTGGTATGCAGCTCTCATTCACATGGTATACAGCCGACATTAAAAAGCAGATATCGAGGCGAATAGGCTAAACCCTGCGTGCCTCAGAGGAATAATCCATCCTAACACACTTCTGTCTAGTCCCCATTGCTAATTTCAAATGAATCAGCTGTAAGAACTATCCAGCACGTAATTCACGAAAAATAATATTACTTGTGAGGAAACCAAGGCGTATGGAACTGAACCATGCTTATCTAGGCACCGAATTCCCTTTTATTGGAGGAGAGCTTTGGCAAATGCACGCCTCCTTCGTCAGACAATTCATTCCAACGTGTACATACGAAGGAGTATGACAGAGGAGGAACGTAAGCGCGAATATGACCTAAGGCAGGAAGCACGTGAGAGGAACAAAGGGAAATCAGATCGGGAGTGGGTAGTATACAGAGGGCAAGTTATCAGAGTATCGGAGATACCCGTAAAGAGGTCGGGAAACCAATGATCCAGCATGGTATGCGAGATAGAATAAAGATTACTATGTTAAATGCCAGAAGTCTTGTAAATAAACTGCATCACCTTCGAGCCTTTTTGATAGAGAATAAACCCGACATACTTTTTGTAACTGAAACGTGGTTAACAAATAAGATTGAAGATAGTGAAATTGTGGGGGAGTTGCCTTATTTGGTTTTACGTTCAGATAGACAAAGCCGTAAGGGAGGCGGTATTTGCTGCCTATCTAAAATGATTCTCCCAGTGAAATCATTCGTATCTGATAGTAGCACTATGTCTAATATCCTTTGCATCGATGTAACCTCACGACAACAGCCTACTTGTATGCGTTTTATCGCAGTCTACCGTCCACCAAATAGTACTACTTCAAGCGACTATAAGTTGATTGAACTATTATGTAATTTTGTGAGTGAAAATGAAAATACAATTCTTCTAGGCGATTTTAACTTACAAATTGATTGGATCAATAAATCTCCTCTCAACAAAACTTCTGAAACTTTTTTTAAATTCTTTCGTCACTCTGGCTTCACACAGTATGTCCAAGAACCAACACACTGCAACCATATTCTGGATCTTGTTTTATCTACTTCTTCTAATATCTCTGAAATTCTTACTATGTCTCCTCTCGCAACTTCTGATCACCAAATAGTTCAATTTTTTTGTTTCTATAAAAGCCTTCACCCCTAATGTACTGCCTCGACCCGACTTTCGAAAGGTTGACTACGTTTCTCTCAACAGCTACCTTGCCAATATTGATTGGCTAAGCTTGTTTGATCAATACTGGTCCGCTGATGACGTTTACTACAGATTTTGCACCTTTATGTACAAGACCTTCTCGGAATTTGTTCCCTTCTCTATGGCCCAACCTCATTTGCAATACCCTAATCATATACGAAAACTTCTTGCGCAGAAAGAAAGGTTATTCAATAACACATCAGATCCTCTATCCAATACCATGTACAAGAAGGTATGCAAAGATGTCGACTACCATCTAAAGAGATATCTATCCAATCGAGAACATAATCTGGCCAAAAAAGCAAACTCCAAATTCTTTTTTGACTACATAAATCAAAAAATCAAGCCTAATCGTCATCTGCCGACCATAACTGACCAAATGGGCCGCACCTATCACACGAATGCAGAAAAAGCACAAGCTTTAGCGCGCTATTTCGCTGCTATTTTTGACTCCAGTGATCAAGCTGAACGCATAAATTGTACTGCACCCATTTCTACTGGTTACCGGTCTTTATCAAACGTTCACTTTAGTCCTTGGGAGATTCAGAAGATTTTGGCTGGTTTATGCCCATCTCTCAGTGAACCGTTTGATGGTATCCCACAAATTGTTTTTAAGAAATGTGCCTCATCTCTTTCTATTCCTCTTGCGCATATGTTTAACATATCGATGATGCTTGGTGAGGTGCCGCAAATCTGGAAGGAGGCAATAGTCACTGTGATTCCTAAGGTCTCCAACGCACGCCTTCTTTCAGATTTTCGGCCCATCAGTCTGACTCCCACAGCCGTAAAAGTAATGGAGAAAGTTTTGCGTAACAGATTACTCTCATGGCTTGGAAAAATTAACGTGATCCCTATGAATCAACACGGTTTTATGGAAGGGTCATCTACAGCCACTAATCTTGTAGACTCAGTTTTTGATTGGAATTTAGCACTTAATATTGGTAATTCCATTGATGTGATCTACGTTGATCTTTCCAAGGCATTTGATAGAGTTCATCATGGAAAGCTTTTGAACAGGCTGGAACAAATTGGTCTAAAAGGAAACATATTGAATTGGTTAAAGTCATATTTGCACAACAGAGGCATGACCGTCAAGGTTGAACACCACTTTTCTGATCGACATCCCTGCACAAGTGGTGTTCCACAAGGAGCAGTCCTTTCTCCATTACTCTTTCTACTATACACTGCTGAACTTCCATCTATCTTGAACACATCCATACATCTGACAATTCAGATGTATGCTGATGATATAAAGATATATGGAAGTTATAGTAATGAAAATAAACTACAGGTTCGTTCAGCGATACGAGCGTCTCTTGGAAAAATGATGAACTGGGCTGCTCTCTCTGGTATACCTGTGAACCTAGAAAAAAGTTTTGTAATGCATTTTGGAGATGAAGACCTGCCAATTTATGAGATAAATGGAATCAAATTGAAAAGCTGCTCTATTGCCAAGGACTTGGGTGTTCTTGTAGATCCCGAATTAAAATTTACTAATCATATTGAACATGCAGTCAACAAAGCATTTTCAGTGTTGTTTGCTATTTTTCGAAATGTCCACACTGAAAATCCTCTGATTCTCAAACGGCTTTATAATGCTTACGTATTACCTCATCTAGAATACTGCTCTGTTGTTTGGAGTCCTTTTCTCAAGAAAGACATACGAAAACTAGAGAAAGTTCAACAAACGTTTACTCGAATACTATATATGAGGTGCCGACGAAAGTTCAATTTTGTTGAAATGCCCACTTACGAGACTCGACTCAGGTCCTTGGCAATGAAGAGTTTAGAACATAGACGTGTATATCTAGATCTTTTCTTTGCTTTTCGACTCATTCGCAAAGAGCTTAGACTCAGTGCGAGTAAGTACTGGATTTTCAGACCGACTAGTAGAAATGGTGGGTTTAGCATTTATTATTCACGTATCTTGAGAAAACGTTTTCGCTTTGTGTTCAACAGTTTTTTTTTATAGAATTCCTCGCTGGCTTCGTGCATTACCGTGTACCCCGCTGCAAGCTCCCACTGTAGCTACTTTTAAACGCAGAATTAATGCACTCAATTTAATGCAAGTAAAATATTCAGAGATCACTTAATTTCCTCTGTTATAGTTGATTTGGATTTTGTTTTGAGTGTTTTGTGTTTACTAATATATGTGCAAGAGCTAGCTTCCCCAAAAATCAAACCACTTTGTTCTCTCCTTAACTTTATTTAGCCTCACTCATAGGCCTATCGTACAAATGCTTTTATACTTTGCTGCCTTTCTATCCATGGGAGCGATGTAAGAGAAAGCTCAAAGAGGTTAACCCGCCTGGGCACGCATGGATTAGCCCATTCGCTCAGGTGTCTTTCTCTTTTTTCGCTTGAGAGTGATAACTCAAAGGTTATTCACACCATGGCTGCAGCATGACAACCATCCTTCCTCATCATACTTACATCTATAATCCTATTGAGTGTAGGCTATAAATTTTCTTTTTACTATATAGTTTGATCTTTCGAGAAATTAGCTCTTTATTTCTCATCATTTATTTTAAAGTGAGACAAACTTATTGAACTATCACGTTCGTTTGGCGCATCATTGTATGCAAAGATAAAATAAAATAAATAAAATAATTATCGCTCTGTAGTACCTTAGAGGTAATTGGCAACGGGAAGATACTGTAGCTAGAACACAACCGAACAGAACCGGAACACAATAAAAAGAGTGAGTGCGCTTGAACAGTAGGCTGGAGTGGGAGAGGCATGTGAATTGATGTTAGTATCAGTATCGGTATATGATTAACATGAATGATACTCATCGCAGTAGAGAAGAGGCCGTCAGTCAGCTGAAAGAAAAAAACTCATAGGAAGAAATTTTTACTACAAACTTGAATGTGCTAGAAATCAACCTTTCCTGAGCTTGAATTGGAAGCTGGAACTGCAACTGGCACCTAGAACTTCCAAGGGTAATTGTTGTAACCACCTTGCTCCTCGATGGAACAGGGTGTTGTAAGCTAGCAAAAACTTTCTTCTTTTAAATGAGTATAATGCTGAACTGGAGCGTAGGCTACACGGCATGAAAACCCAATATTTGCTTGCAGGGGGTATAAGTTCTTTTCGCAGTATTTTAAAGCAAAAGACAAGTTGCTTTTATGACTGAGCCAACACCAAGATTATCATAGCATTTATTCGGCTAACGTTTCGGCCTAGTCGCCTTCGTCAGAGCCTATAAAGTGAGGAACATTAGGAATTAACCTCCCAAACATCTCATCACATGCAGGAAAAACAGAAAAGAAGAATGCACCGCCGTAACAACTGAGCTCGCGCCATTAATGGAGTTATGCAAGTTTTGATCTATGCGTAGCCTCCAGAGACTCGCCTCACTCATTGTTAGCGCATCCCAGTCAGCGGTGGTTCTACCCTGTTCTGACAAAAAAGGTGAGCTAATAGTTCTAGGCTTTAAAGGGAGCTATCCAACTTCTTGGACTTTTTCCTGCATGTGATGAGATGTTTGGGAGGTTAATTCCTAATGTTCCTCACTTTATAGGCTCTGACGAAGGCGATAGGCCGAAACGTTAGCCGAATAAATGCTATAATAATCTTGGTGTTGGCTCAATCATAAAAGCAACTAATTCGATATGCCAAGATTCATTGAAAGTCGAACATGGAACATCATGCAAAAGACAAGATCAAGCACTTTTCTGCGATGCTACAAACTATTCATGCTCAACATTTTGATGTGGCCGGCATAGGAAGGCATATTAGTTATAGCTAATTCTCTCCAACATCTTAGATATAGTAGACGGGTTAACGTGTACTGGACTTTCTCTAATCTCTTGACATCTTTTCTCAAGGAAGGCTCCACATTTCGTCATGTTTCCGGGCGGAGAACTTTATGGCTCCCCTTTGCTTTCCCCTCAAAAAACGACATCCAGTTTGTGAAAGCGTCACCTCTACAGGGCCCTGACCAAGCGCTTGAGAAGGGGGGAGAGGGAACTTTGTCGAGATGGTTGTAGGGAGAAATTCATTTAGCATGTCTGAACCTGTGCTGCAACTGGTGCACCACGCAATTTTGAAGGCAGCGTCCACCCACGATTTGGCTTCCATGTTGCTATCGTTCTCGGACCGTTCGCCCTAATTACGACTATGAAGGGCAAAATGCGTGAAAACCCAGAGTACCCCTTTCCGAGGTCTGATTTCGGCAGATCTATGCTCCGACGCTAGTCCAGCCGTTTTCAGCAGAAATTCCTGTTGCATGCAGCAGTGTTACGTTGCACAGTAGATAATTTGGCCTGCTTGCCTTGTCAGAACGTGTCTTGGAGCAGTCCATGTATAGGCGAAGCGCTAAAAAGTAGGCGGAACCTGGAATCGTTCAACCTGCAGATCCATTTTCTCCTTTGAGGCAACATTAAGAGGATCAGACTAACATAGTCGGGGTAACGCGATTTCCTCGATATGCAAGAATGTCAGCTAAGTTTATTACTCAGGGCCCGGCATGCATTGGTACAAAGGTTTTTTGAAAACGAAGTCCTCCATACTTCGCAAATTTTTACGAAGTCCCCACTGACGTAAAATAGTAATTAAACAACAACAATTTGACACAAACAATAGAAACAAGAAGTAAGTATCACCAGTTCAAATGATGTCTTTGTAGGCATGTGATTGGAGCGCCATGTCTATCAATGCGTTCATCTATACTAATTTTGTCTCAAAAAAAAAAAGAAGAGAGGCCATGATTTGATATGCTCTCCTCACTGTATGATAGATTCTTAAGTGTTCCAATCGTCCAAATCATAGTGTTCCAAAAATTATGTGAGCTCTCCGTTATCTATGCTCCGAACCAACCCAGTCGGTTTGGTGATTGTCTGGAAACTAACATGTTTGAGAACGGTATTAGGACACGTAAGTTTTCACAACTTTCTACATAAAGTAGTTTGGAATAATATTGTATACATGTAGCCCAAATTCGGTGTCATGTGATTGCTTGTGCGCTGTAAACAAGCCGTTTTGACGCTAAGCTTTTCTATCCCTGTACGAACCACTGCTATTCTAGGCGCAGCAAAATCTTAACTCCCCTATCTTTAAAAAAAATTTGTGTATGGAACACATTTCACATTGCTCATTCCATAAAAGAACTTCTGTTGACTAACAAAAGATACAAGCTAATTTCCAATGAACGAATTTTTGTGAAACGGAGGTAAGGAGCTTTCTCGGTCCATTCCTTCCAAGCAGTGCGCCAAAATTGAAATGGTCATTTCCATTCTTGCAAAAAGCCATGAACTATCGGTTTTTACAGCAAACTAGATGGCAAACCCGGCTCCGCCCGGGGCCAAACTTTGCACACATACACTTCGGGGCAGGGAGCGTGTCATAGTCCACTTTTCGTTATCGATCGATGTCGATTTCACCGATTTTTTGCAAATTTTGAGCTAGGGGGCTGGGATTTTGCACAGGGGGGTAATCGAACATGCCCCCCTGTGCAAAATCCCAGCCCCCTAGCTCAAATTTTGCAAAAAATCGATAAAATCGATATCGATCGATAACAAAAAGTAGCCTATGACACGCTCCCTGCCCCGAAGTATATGTGTGCCAAGTTTGGTCCCGATCGGTTCAGAAATAAAAATTTCTATTCCGCACATACGTACAGACAGACAGACAGACATACATACAGACATTCAGCTTTATATATAAGATCATCAGTGCTTTGTGGTGGCAAAAGAGCATCGCTTTGCTCTTCAAAAGTGCATTTCTTTGCTTGCTTTCTAAATATGGCCTTTCCAATCCTAACGAAAATAGTTTGTTCTCATTTTGGGGCTTCACTGCTCCATTTTCAAGTCTTTTCACTCTGTTTTGCAGGGGATGTTCACTCTCTAAGCTTTCAAAGAACTGGGCAAACTGGAAATTTTCGTTTATTAGCTCGCGAAAAATATGACATCGACGACTTGAAAACTATAAACAACCCAAAATCGTCGTGTACATATCGAAATAAATAGTGGTGTGCACGGGTATGTTGTGACTACTGGAGAAAATCCAGATGAGAAACACCAAAACATAAATGCACATATCACACATAAAACCGGCTTAGGACTATATACAAGAAACAATCAAATGCAGTGATTGTCTCGGACGACACGAGAAAAATAAATTATTATTTGTACAACTTTGTACATTTCGCATGGAATGCGCGCAAAGAAAGAAAGCTCATTGGGATAAGGTCACAAATAATTTGGCATTTTTGTAAAAAATTCCAGGAAAGTCGTTCCTCCTACTCGACCCTTAGCTCCGAGAAAGACGTAATTTTGTCAGCGCTCGACACTTCAGCGTTGACCGAAAGGGGGTCGAACAGAAGGGCACTGGCCCCGAACTGTTTGGCCGCTCGGAAGTCCTTTTGCACATTGTCCCCAATGTGCAGCATTTGCGACGCATCGTGTAGGTGGTATCGTTGCAGGACCAGCTCAAAAATATCCGGGTTTGGTTTTTCCACACCCACTTCTCCGCTGGCCACGACCATGTCAAACAGTTCGTAGAGGCCCATGTCTTGTAGAATTTTCTTTAAACGACAATCGAAATTCGATACAATCACGATGCCCACTCCGTTATCACGCAGTTCTTTGAGGACGGACTTCAACTGAATAAAAAGACTTTCAAAAATATGCAACAAAGGTGAAGTACTTAACCCTGTGGGAGAAATATTCACCTTAGGATCAGTGAGCCTCCATGCGCTACCTTCAGCATAGAAATCAAATAAATCATGAGCGATCTTTTCTCCTTTCTCTTCTTCAATTTTTGTAGAGCATCCCTAAACAAGAAAATTACTCCACAAAAATGCAAAGAAAATAGGTATGAGAAAATGTTTAGAAGAGCTCCCGACAGGACTTAAATCCAAAAATGTTGAAATCATGTTCCTCTCGAGTAGTGAAAATGCGGATACTTTTGTGCGAACTGATTACAGCGAGAGTTGGTCCCCGCTGTATTTGTGATCATACTCAAAGTACACCATGTAAATGTTTCTATTCTATGACTTTCGCTTTGGAAAAAAAAAGAAAGAGAACTGTTTCCAATGAACTGATTTTGGCGAGAACTGGTCCCCGATAAGTATGAAAATGCTTCTCAGCACTCTACTAAGAATTTTTCTAGCCTCCTATGACTGAGGTGGATCACTCTCTCATGAGGCTACATACATATGTATTAGGATCAGAGTTTCTTTTGAGCTAAATTTAGCGAGAACTGGTCCCCATTATATTTTCTAGACCAAACTAGTTCAAAATTGTAGATGTTTCTTGCCACACTTTTGCTAGAATCATGGTCATGATGGATGCTTTTCTTTCTCTGCCTCTTTAAAAAGATGCTACGCACATCTCCGAGATCTATAGATAAACTTTTTCGAGTTTGGAATTATTCGTGCATTTTCAGAATTAATCTGTCATTGAAAAAAGCTATGAAACATCGATCTCACCTCTTGCAGGCATCCGATTACAATTCGCTTCCACCATTCAAAGTCACCAATGGAGCTGAATCCAAAGCACGGGTGACTATTGCACAAATTCTTCCAATATTTCGGGTATGATGCAGCAACAGCGGCCGAATTCACATTGATCCCGTATTTTTCAGCAACTCGTGTGTAGACCTCGTTGAATGGTTCTCCATCAGCAATCAGGGTGTCATTTGCGTCAAAAGACACCACTTGTACAGTACGAGCCGGGGTGCTCGAGAAAGGGCTGGTGCACGCTTTATGAAGCGGACGAATGATTGGTGTTAGTCGCTTTAGGCTTGCCATGTCTGAAAATGAAATTCTAAATTGGAAATTGTTTTGCTCGGAAGGGAGCGATTGGAATGCGTCAACAAGCCAAAATGGAACAACACGACGGCCATTTACGCTAGATTTTGTGTCAGTGAGGTACCCTTTCGCATGGGAGTTACGCATCCGCAACGCATGGGGCGACACACTTCCACTTGATCCGCTTGATCCATTTCATCCATTTCGCTGATGGTCAATCCACTGAACTAACCAATAGCGAAGTGGATCAAGCGGATCAAGTGGAAGTGTGTCTTATTGATCGGAAGTCCGCAGGCAAGTCCCATGCACTGCGGATGCGTGACGAAGTGGATCAAGCGGATCAAATGGATTGAATGTGGCGCGTGCCCAAGGCCAATTTGAATGTCCAAGGCGAACGTGTGCAAACGTGACGCAAACTTCTTCTGCGGCAAGTGAGTCGGAAAAGGGAATGCATGATTGACACAGGCTGTACGATAATATTTTCACTTCACATTGGCAAAATATCATTTATTAATGAAGAGTTTACACCAAAGTGAATGATTGAATACATCAAGTCAATCATTACTTATACCTGGTGCAAGCTCCGCCCACAACATCAAAGAGATGACATTTATGCGAAAAAAATTTTTTAGAACTTTTTTCAGCAAAAAAATTCTCGATTGTATCAATGAAACCGGAGCTGCTAAAAAACAATCACTCCAAAGAATAAATACTCTCTTTGCAAGTGGAGAACACCCATCAACTAAATTATATCGAATTTAGCTTGCCGTTCATTAAAAACTCAAAAGAAAACGTGTAGTCTCTGTGCTTCAGATAAGATAATATCGAAAATGGAATGTGCACGTTTACATGAGAATGTGAAAACAACAGGGGAACGAGGGGGCTTTCCCAGTGTTTGGTGACACGCGATCGGTGTGCTGTTTTATGAGCGCAGTTTACAGTTTTCGTGAAGTGCACGCGCGAAAAAAGTGGGAAAATCCGTGCAATTGCACAAGATTTTCTTTCGCGCCGCGCGTTGTCATGTCAGATCTCAAGTGTTCGGCTGATGGACATTTCAAGCACAAGGAAAAAGTGAAGAAGGAGAAAAGGATTTCTTGGCTGGTGTAAATCAGCGGCCGGAATTACACGCTATTTTGATTCAAACGACTAAGATGGAAATCGCTTCAATCTAAGATGCTCAATCTCACCTAATTTTTCATGTTTAAAAAAGTCAAAGAATGTAGAGAAGATAGCGCAGCGAAAAGTCGACAAAGCGAGGTTATATAGGGGTTTGAGACTGGGTTACATGATGCAACTGACGGTCCGCCTTCTTAAGAAGAACTCCGCGCAAACCAGCAGCAATTATCATTTATTCATTCAGAAACACAAATTAGAGACATGCAAAAAGACGGATATGATGCAATAAGTGAAGACAGGATAGGATAGTTAGATAAAAATCTGCAAGATGTTTGAAAGTTTTTGGTACTCGTGCTTTTATTAAGCGCAAAGAAAGTAATCTGTTGAATGGATCAAAGAATCATAGAAATAACTTCCAAGAGAGTAAGAATATCCGTTTCGTCTTTACTCTCAAAAATACAGGTACTTATTGAGCACTTTTCGGAATAATTTCATTTTAGAAGACCCCCTCTTGAATTCCGTATCCTTTAAAAACCATAATATGGAGAGCAAATGGACTTCATCGACGTGGAAACATCATTAAAGCTGCGAAATGCCACTTGATCAACCGCTAGTAACTTCCAGAGTTGCCCGTGTGCAGTTCCAGTGCCGTGCTAGTGCCGTGCCGGAATACCAAGACGCGAAAGTTCCAGCACGCAGCTGGCACGAGCTGGAACAGCGCGAGCACATCGCGGACACGTCAACTATGGATACAGCTTTGAAGGAGCGTCCGAGCAGACTTTCGAACCTCGAGAACGAACCCCCACTCCCTCGCAAGGCGAAAACCTGGGTAGTAGACTAGATGCGGCCGGAAAGGGGCTGCCCGCGAGGACATTTGCAACAAATGCGCATCCTTGCACATGCACGGAGATGCGTTTTTGGAAGAAGTCCGCGCGGGACTCTCACAAATTCGGCGACATAGTCCTCCACCGGAAAACGTTTGAACGAGATCTCTTCAGCCTTTGACGCGTTTTCACATGGCAAACTCAATCGGACACATAGCGTTTACCTGTTGAGGCTTTCTTTCGACAAAGATAGCATCAGAAACACTCGTCCGAGCTCTCACAAAATAGCTCCAAAAAGCGGTTTTTTAAGGTCGAGGATCTGCCCGCACGCTGCCTTTAGACAACATTGACAATTACAAAACCCCTTGAGATATCTGCATCAGAAACATGGAAAGTTGTGAAAGCAAATGAGCGGCAAACATTATACTAGACAGTTCTATATTACAGACAGGATTTATGAACCATGATATTTACCCTAATTTCCGGGGTATAAGGCGCAGTAGCTTTGACCGCGCGCGAGCTGATGATGATGACGTACACGATGCGCGGCGCCGCACAAGCAGCCAACAGCAGCCTCTTTCACACAAGAGTAGCATTTTGCTCCCTTTTTTGCTGTTTTCCTCTCAATAGTGATTTGTTTCAAAAACTCTACCTTCTTTTTTATTCTTCAAAAATGGAATAAAACAAAAACAGCACATTCAAAATATCATTGTAAAGGAAAGCACAGTCTTAGTACCAGTAGCATTATCAGAAACAAAGAAGAGCACAAATGTAGCACCGGAGATTAACCACAGCAGTCTTGGTCTTCAGTTTTAGAGAATAATCGTTTAGAAAGCGTTTTCGCGCCATTGTTCGCTGCGGCGGGTGCGCCTTATACAAGGTGCGCCTTATACCCCGGAAATTAGGGTATTACAAACACTCTAAACCCAATTTAAAACCTTATTCAAGTACAAAAAATCATGCGCCCGAGCCTGGTACTAATAACCAACAAAATTATCTCTGAAACTACGATAATACGTGCGAAAAAGATAACCCGCACGCGTTCCAGTAGGCATTCAGTTGTACTTCTGAAAAGTACCATCTTTTATTACAGAATCACATGACCGGACAATCTTCGCCACCATTATCATAATTTACGCACGCCAAGCGCAGGCCAATTGTAACCTATATGTTATTTTTATCATTTCGAATATGACAATAATGGTCCCAACAAAGAGTCTCACACTGAAGCCACTTCAGAGAACATTTAGCTTCGATAGCTCAGACCCGCAGCACTTGGCACGGATCCAATTGCTTATTATCGCCGCAGAGTGCACGATACTTAAGCCAGACAAAAAATGGTAATATCCCTCAGCTGTCACTCAGATGTACATCTGCGGTAAACAAAGTGATTTTGTCTAAAAAAAATTTACGAGATCATAATATTAGTAGTTAATAAGTATTTCAATGACAGCTGTTCTATGAATGGAGGGTGAGGTTCCGAAGAGTCACGAATACGATAAGATGTTAATTGAAAAAAAAACTTGATATGTCAATCAAGGTGGTCCTTATCAAACTATAGAGATTTTAAAAAAACTCGTACATGATCTTCTACTGGCAAAAAGGTTTCTTTGCCAAGCATCTTAAGATTAACTAGAACGCCAAAAATAGCAATTTTTCTGAATCTGCAATCCCCGATAAATAATTTCCATTGCAGCACGTTGGAGAGACAGAACAACCAAGTTAGCCTATTCGCACGCTACCGATAAAGTCAGTGAACTGACCAATAGCGAAATGGATCAAGTGGGTCTCCTATTGGCCAGTTCGCGCATTTGACCAACAGCGAGATCGATATGGCGTGATGTAAGTAAGGTCTAAAATTAATCAGAGCCTTTTTCAAAAAGAAATCTCTACACATTCAAACAAAGTATTTCCGAAATACATGGCATAATCCAGAGAATGTAAGTATAGACGGACTAGATCATGTTTTCCGTAAATATGCAACGATAGCAAATTTACATTTTTTTGCACATTTCGAGCGATTATACAGCTGTTCGTAATAATGATTAGCATCTAAACGTCCCCATTCCGAATAGAATATTCTCTGCAATATAGCCAATTTTTTCTTGACCATATGGAGCCAGAGCCAGCAATTGAGCAGCCTTCCTTTCCTCCGCCCCCCCCCCCCGCCCTCCCCAATAAAATTTCAAATTCCGAATGTGTCACTTTGCCTCAACTACAGCTGAGCTGAAGACAATCGTGTGATTTAGATGAATCTAATTTCTATAAATGGAGATATTGATACGTATTTCCTATAAATGTGGACCGGCAGCAAATTCATATTTTTCGCAAGATTTCGGAAGATTATATAGCTGTTTGTAATAACGACTTGCGTATAAATCTTTCCCATTCCGAGCAGAAAGCTCCGTCGGCAATAAAGCCAGAGTTTTTCTATAACCATATGGCACTCGCTACCGCTGCACCATTGGTCCCATTGGTCAAATCAGTGAACTGTCGAATAGCAAAGCGGATGTCACTTGACCGACCTGATCCATTTCGCTATTGGTCAGTTCACTGATTTCCAATATCAAGTAGATAAAGTGAATAAGTGTGGGGCTGCCTATGGAAGCAGCAATTCGTAGAACCTAACCCGCCCCCCCCCCCCTCCCCACCTCCTCCCAAAGAACTATAAAAAAAAATTTCAGATGTGGCACGTATGGCTGAACTACCATTGGGCTGAAGACTATCGCTTGTACTTTATTGGAATCTAGTTTCCTAAAATAGAATGAGGCCACATGCGTTGAATCAAAAGATCACGCCAAGATCAGGTAGTTCTAGGCATCCAGAAAAAAATAGGAATTTTGAGCGCTGCAAAAGCTCAAAATTGGAGATGAATCTCAGCAATGGCGGAAGGTCCAAGACCGCAGGTATAAGCTGACTGAAGCTCGACTGAAGAAGAGGAGGAGCCCCGGCAGTTTATATACAGCTTAAACCTCATCTGATGTGTCACCTGGTGTCGCTCCGTTCGAAATGTGTGTATGTTATGAATTCTTTTCTATAACATGACAAAGTTATTCACAATGTAAACGATCACACGGGCGATGGACAGTTTCAGAAAAACATCAACATCGTATAAACAGCGATTATTTTAGAAAAAGAAACAATATTGTTACTATTTTTAGAATAGCCGCCTAATCACAAAGTCAGGCACATATGGACGTAAACATAATTCTTATTCAAGAACGAAATCACACTGAATGCTTCGTTGATATTCAAGAGCAAGATACATTCTACCAAAAAATCAAAAACACACTAATTTTAGTCACGCCACCGCAATGTTGTTTACCTGCCAATTTTCTCCAAATTTGTTATTATTACTACTTTGTACTTTGTCCCGTAATCGAATCTCCTTCTAAAAGATTTTTTTATTACATGCGTTAGAGCCGAGAACAAGTTTATTCCACTCTAATACAAATGACTAGTGACTGTAAGGGGTTCCCCGACTTTTTACAACCACATGTAAGTACTTTGCTGTCTTTGAAAAACACTAAGTACGTGACAGTGATTAGGATCATGCGACGATCTTAGAGAGCAGTACATTCGATAAGAAGTTGTCAGTACAGCTTCTCGTTGGCAGAAAACAAAAAGAAAAGGATTTAGTTGGTAAAGAAACAAAGAAAAAGAGAGACATTTGACAGGGGGTGGACCGCTGATTATTTATGGAAAGCATCCACCTCGAGATAGTACACTCCAGTAGCCAAAACTATGAAATTTATCAAACTTCTTTTAGAATGAAAATCATACAACAAGGACTGAATCTTTTGGCAATCTGCCAGTACTCGAATAACAATCGCTGAGTCAACGCAGTATAACATTCAGAGTAAAAGAACATGGCGGAAAGGAATGCGAGACTCAAGCGCCATAGACGGTGGTTGTTTATCACAACATAAATCGATTCCTCTGCTCTACTAAAAATGCCTGAGCATGTTTGACAAGCAATCAACAATCATTTCGAGACTAGAAGACTCTGCTTTGTACTTTTGTAAATGACATGATAGTACCGTGTTCATTATCTCATTTTGTATACTTTCTAGTTTGAACATGTTAGGACTTGTGAGTACGTTGTGCGACTTCTGTTGCCACGCGGTTTGGCACTTTGCCAGATGTTTTTCACCACTACCAGTAGAGCTTGAAGGCACAGTATTTATACTTGTAAAATGACAAAAAGCCCCCATATTTTTTTTTCAAATCGCGTTCAAAAGCAGCACCCACCCAAATCTGTTTCCGTGTTTTTGCCATTCTGGGGCCTTTCCCTGCCCCTGTTTATGTACGTGAGGTGCGGAATGTGCAACCCCCCCCCAAAAAAAAAAGAAAACGATTTCTGGGACCCCTATCTTGAAGGCACAGACGACTTTCAGCACTTCAGTAGGCGGAATTTCATAGGGTGGGCGTGGCTTGATAGCACTTTCGCGGGTCCCAGATCCTTTATTTCCATACAGAGGCCACATTAGAGGACCGGACCAACTCAGACGTCCTACTCCTGCGGTCTTCTTATGAACTAGGTACTAATCGGGAGAGCATAGATTTTGCCTGAACACTGCCAATGAGCAAAGTTCTGAACACTTGGAACATTGCCAAATCGCATGCGACTCGAATTGCACCACGCGCACAGACTTCTCGAATCTTCTAGTCTCAGAATAGATGATAGATGTGCATAACTTTGCAAACAAACAAGATCTTGCTCATAAGAAAAAAAACCTGCACAGCAATTTATCATTCGTGGGACAAATTAAAAATAAACAAACATGCTGTTCTGCTCATACGATCCAAAAAACCGCCAAGTACTTTACTACAGGCTGCTGTTGACTGTCACAGGTTCCCATCTTCCTCGAGCGCTTTTGGAGGTTCTTTGCCCCCATTCTGTGCTATTCGCTGTTTTTCTCACCCGCTGTGCCATTTCGCGAAGCCTAACGCCACGTGCTGAATAAACAGTGTTTTCAACTTCTCTTCTCAATTCAAAATAAAAATGAATTCTATGAGCTTTGTGCTACACCATGCCGTCTTTTCTTTCTGAGTAAATATGACAACTTTTTCAAATAATCTAGTCTTGCCTAAATCACATCAAAGCACACGAAAGAGTATGATTAGATATTTCGTTTCAACGATAGAACAGCCTGTCGTTGACAATTTGTGATGCATGTTGAACGCTTTCTTGTCTATTCTGTCAATAGGGTAAGAAACAATTGAAAAAGCTGATAACGCGACATTTTTACCATGCACTGCTTTCTTTTGGCATCTTCTAGAACCCACGCGGTAGAGATATAACAGAATAACAAATTCTGTTAGCAACAACAGACTGAAGGGAATTTTGATTCTGCTCCAAATTTCAAATCTGGATACTAACCTTATGTGGGTACTAACTGGAATGACAAAATGCTAAAGCGGCTACTGAGCTTATTTACTCGTGGCCAAGAAATTCAATTCTAGAATCTAGCCCAGTACCGTATTCGACTGCGCCGCGGGGTATGGTACAAGGCGGGAATTCAAAATTATTCCTCTACCGTGAGATAGTCATTCGAGCTGCATCTTGAACAATGTCCCATTATGACCTCCCTAACCGATTCATTAAGAGTTCAGACGATAGAGAGCTTAGCACAAGTTGTCCCCCCTCCCCCTCCCTCCCCAACATAAGAATCCAATGCTTCCTCTTTAGTTGAAACAACCCTTGCGTTTATTTGGCCCCATTCGCAGGCCGGTTCGCAACTTGGCCTGAGTTCAAAACTATCAAGATCTATGTTCTCAATAAGGAAGAAAACACTCAAAACGGTGAACGCTTTACGATGTCACGCGAAGTTTTATCATTCACAAAACATCTTTATCAACGGCTTTAGTACTTCGTAAAGATAAGCGTATAAGAAACGCTCATTCAACATTATAAGTGCACGGTGACGTTAAGACAATAAGCTTATTTCAGTTGTCAGAATGTAAGGGACAAGCTATTATTAGTTAACCATGCATTCGCTTCTTTGCATAAAAACAGAACAGAATGAAATATTAGAACCGAATTTGCACAGACAAAGAGGATTATGCTTGAATATTTTATCAACAAGAATAGCGAATGTAACACAATGACCTATCTATTTTGATATCTACACTGGCTAACTCTAGGACTACACAATCGTGAAACGCCAGCTGTCTTACGAGTGGCGTGCAACGAAAAGAAAAAAGATAATTGTAAACCAGTACCGAACGTGCACATTGGACGTTTCAAAGAATTTACGAGAAAAAAAAAAGTTCTCTGAGAATTACAAGCTCCTTTAACAACAAGAACATGACAAAAATTGAGGTGGTGGCGAGCAAAGAAAGAGAGATGCACAAAATACTCAACTCTTACTCTATCGTTAACTCACTAAAGGACCTAATTCGATGGCTCTCATCTACTTCGGTTTTTTCTGATAACGGGTCAAATAGAAATGCTTTGGCACCAAATTTTATGGCTGCTTGGTAATCTTTCTTAACATTATCTCCCACATGTAACAACTGGGAGGGACTGGTAAGGTGGTAATGGCCCAGAACCATTTCGAATATTTTTGGGTCTGGTTTTTCCAGACCTATCTCCCCGCTCAGGAGTACCAAGTCGAACAAGTGATCGATTTCGAGGTTTCGCAGGATTTTCTTCAGTCGACTATCGAAATTCGAGACAACAACCACTCCCAGTCCCATCTGACGCAGCACATCCACAGCTGATTTCATCTGAATAGAATCAGCTGTTGATATCGTATGGCGATGTAACAGCACAATACCTCTGGGTCAATAATGCGCCATGCGCTTGCTGTGGTATAGAAATCATAGAGCTGACGACTTATTTTGTCTCCTTGTATGTGATCTATCCGCTTTGTATGTGCCTAAATCATTTTGGTTGTCTCCCACGCTCATTTCAAAGAAGGAAGTTGCAAAAAAATTCAACAAGCATTTGCAAGGGCCACAAAGAAATCATGTATGCCAAATGAAAACTAAGGAATGCGCAAAGCTTTTCAACACCATATACTTAACAATCATTAGCGCGGAATACTATGGCGGATTGCAGCGACGCCTTTCAACAGGGTCCTGTGGTGTAGTGGTTATCACGTCTGCTTTACACGCAGAAGGCCGCCGGTTCGATCCCGGCCAGGACCACTCCTTTTTGCGCGCTTTCACATGGTTGAACAGTGAAGATTGCCATCTCTACGGTTCCCACGTTGAATGCACGTGCATCAAAAAGTGAAGCAAAAATGTAAAGGACCTCAAACCCTCAGATCTATTTTCACATGGTACACTCAAAGCCCTTGTGGATTCTAACGGATGCATAAGAGAAGGAAATAGAGAATAACTAAGTGCATAGAATCGAAGTGATCAAAAGCAATTAAACGGCACATAAGCCAAGTAAAAACTGATAATAACTCAAGAAAAACCATAAAGGTACTGTATCTTGACATTAGAAGTGAAGAGAATGTCTATGAAAAGCTAAGAAAAACACTTTGTAGACAAATCAAACTCGAACTAAAAGTGAAAGAAGGTAAATTTGAAGTATGTGATACTACACTTAAAAAAAAACTTCTAAAAATTGATGCAAGCAAAATCACCTTTTGCAGACTTCCGACAATGATTCGCTTCCACCACTCGTACTCTCCTATGGAACCGTATCCAAAACATGGATAACTTTCGGAAACATCGTTCATCAACTTTGCATAGCCACAAGCGATGGCCGCTGGGCTCACATCAACGCCGTGTTCGCTAGCAACACGAGAGTAAACTTCATCAAATGGTTTAGCCAGTGCTATGAGAGTGCCCATGGCGTCGATGGATACAGCTTGCACAATTCGATTGGGATTTTTTGTGAATTTGCTGCATTCTTTGCAAAATGTTTGAAGCAAAGGCAGTGTTCTTATCATTAAAGCGATCTAAACAACGAAGATAGAAATTTTACGAGCGACATGTGAGAAAAAACAATGTTTACGGAGAGAAGAAGTAGCTGAACAACAAATAAATGAAGAGATTAGAACGAAGATGCGTTGAGGGCTCTAGTCCCCGTCAAATTTCGACTATGGCGCGAATTGCCAGCTCAAATTGTCACACTTAGCAATGGAGAATTTTATAAGTCTTTCAGTGTTCATTTTGATATTTGAGGCAAATGTAGAGAGTTGTTTAATAAGAAGAACACTTTTATTGTTAAAGGCAGTACATCGGCAGAACGAGACCCGTGACAAAACAAGGTCACAGGGTAGGAGCCCCCATATGGAACCTATGGGCCAAAGTTCGATCTTTCTCTGCCACTTCTAACCCCCGAAATTTCAAAGCGAAAGCAGCGCTCATCTCCGCTCCTCTCCGAACCCGCCCACCCCATGGACGAGCGACTTCCTCGGTCAGAGCGCCAGCCGCAATGCTATAAGCATGAGGTCCCGCAACGACTCTGCGTCTTCGCCATGACGGGCTTCGCGTTCACTCGTCCATGGTGTGGGAGGGTTCGGAGAGGACAGGAGATAAGCGCTGCTTCTGCTTTAAAATTTCGGGGGTTAGAAGTGGCGGAGAAAGATCGGACTTTGGCCGATAGGTTCCATATGGGGGCTCCTACCCTGTGACCTTGTTTTGTCACGGGTCTCATTCTGCCGACCCACTGCCTTTAAGGAACTCTTTGGCAGGTGCCAGACTTATCCGGGTACCGGTCCACTCATTCGCTATTGGTCAGAACAGTGAGTTGACCAATAGCGAATAGGGTGAAGCGAATGAACCGGTTGAACCGATAAATCTGGCACCTAGCATTACTAAGATTTGGAGTTGGATCGATTTCACAGGAGTACAGTCTGTGTCAGTGGAGCACTTCCTTTCGTGCACTTGCGAATGCGAAACCGAATTGCGAACTTCTTGCGTCACGTTTGCGTGCGTTTGGCTTGGCATTTCGCCAAACCAAATCGATGATGCCAATTCAGGCCCGCAGCCTGATTGTGCTATTCCCTTAGTTACTCTTTCTCTCCCCATATACTGTTCGCACTTGCCTGATGATTTCAAGAGACATTACATCCTTACTTATTGTACCGCAGCCATGACGTGAGCTCTTCGCGAGGGGATGCGTACGTGCAAGCAGAAGTTAACCCTCCCTTTTGACACAGACTATAGACACGGTCTCCACGTTCACATACTCGGTAAAAGAAGAGAATCGGGAGCAAATTAGCTCTGACACTGCTTTTAAAGCACAGGAACCATTCCCCTCAGTCATTATATAGTCCGTACGAATTACTCTTCATTGGTCACTTCGACCGCAACGACCCATGTACACAGTTTTGTGAGGTATCGTTAGACAACCTTGACCAGATTCGATAAGTGCAAATATTTGGCCGCAAACAGCGCAGAGACCATTCTTATCACGCTATTTTTAGACGATAAACATTGAAAACATGACAAATTGTATTTCAAGCATTGTTTAATTTAGTGTTAATCGATTCTAGCACGGCGAGCTCGACGAAAAACATGTAAACAGCGAAGATGCACGTGCACCTCTCCACACATTGTGCGTCAAAAGTCACAGAAAAAACGAAAATGAAGGGTTTGCAATGATTGTAATGTATGTTTTTACGGATCAGATATAAAATATGTAGCTAAACCTAGGTATTTATTGCTATGCTGCTGCTAGTTCATGGTAGAATCACGTGCAAAACAGAAAGTACGTGGAAAATCGATGTTGTTTAGAGGCAGATAAACAACTTGAAAAGACGAGACAATAGAAAGTATTGCAAATAGGGATAGAATAGCGTAGATGGAGATGCAGCACGCCCCAATGGAACGAGAAAATGAGCGGCAAAGGCCAATATCTATCTTAATTACTGCGATGGACATTCGCAGAGAGGAAAAACGTGGACTTCAATCCATATGCACCATTCTGCGGACTATCGACATAAAAGGAACCTTTGGAGAGGCAGTGAAATTACAAGGAATGAAACGAATGGAAATACTAACACTTTGTTTTTGTGAAGACGTAAACAAGGCGTAGTACCTGAGATTGCACACCCAACAGGCCCGCAGGGCACGCCATTTATCGCCAGCGTTTTCGGTGTTTCAGCTCGTTCCGCTCCTTTTCTTCGTTTCTTTTTAGGTCAGGTAATACGTTTTCGTTCATAATAGGCGATGTTATCGCTAATTCATTGCAGATCCTCTGATAAGCATTGGAAACAACATTAGCATTACTTTTTTGATGGAAGAGGTGCCGTAACCTGTTGGACCTAGACGGATTGACACATACATAACGCTATTGCTTTTTCAAACACCTCAACTCTGCTCTAGGTGGCATTTCCAGTTCACCTTGTGCGGTTACAGAAATCCAGTTATCTTTCGCCCTGGAAGCGTACATAATTGTAAGCCAAATGTTTTCACGTTTTCGCGTGCTTTATATCAACTATGTTTCTGCAGAAGATAAACCGTGAAGTAGCAGCCAGCTAGAATGAACTTGGCACCCGTATAGTCTATCCCAACCAAATCAGGCCGTTAAGTCGGAGTAATGCGCGATCGCAGCGCTGGGGGATTGCGCTGCATATGCGCGCATTCTGAGAGAGCGAAGAGATTGAAGAGAGAGCAAACAAGCAAGCCAAGACCTGACGCAAGATCAGGGCGATGCGGATATGCATTACTCCAATTTTGGCCTGATACGGAGACTAAGACAGACTCAGCGATCGCAGAGAATTCCGATTACAAGCGAAATTCATCGCACGAGAGGGAGAAACGTCACTGCGGGCAATGTCGGCGTCTCGGTGATCGGGCGCTTTTTCATTCCTCTTGCTTGTCTGCTATCTCTCCCATGGCGAACTATCTTAGGCGGACGCAACGGCGTCTATAGTCTGTCCCAATCGGTCGAACCGACGCCTGAATTTGCGCGCTCGCAGCGTTAGGAGTTTGAGAAGAGAGCGGACTATCTAGTCGTAGACGTGACGCAGGGTGGGGGAACGAAAGCCGCCAGGTTCAGCCGCCTTTCGCGGCCAGCTGGTCCTTTCGCAGCGTTGTTGCATGTCGTTCTACGACCAGCAGTCCGCGGAGGCGGCTCAAACTGGCGGCTTTCGTTCCCCCACCCCGTGACGCAATACCCCCGCGACGCGAACTCCCGCCATGCCAATTTTGGCCTGGTTGGGATTGGGGCAGACTATAGACTTTGCGTACGATGAACCTCCCAAACAGCTCTCATTAAGTTCAAATCAATATTAACGATGCAATCTCTTGCATCAATCACAGTCGCCAAGTAACGGATCTAACGACAATGGTGTGTAGAAAATGCAGTCAGTTTCACCCCAGACTAGGTCGAATTGCGCTGATGCGTGTCCTCCACGCACGGTCCGCGCCGTTCGCAACGACTTGTATCCATCATGTTGAGAATCCATGTCTGCGTCTTTTCAGTTCTCTGTCTTTGTTCGGCAAAATGCCGGCGCTGTTCGCTCTCAGCGTTTTGAAAGCGCATCTCCACATAAAATGCTTTATCTACTCCGGGTTGTTATAGACTACATTGGGTCTCAATTAGGTACTCTTTTTTGGGTAGAAACCCGCAATACGAGGGCTAGCGTGCGGATCTGGATCGGTGAGGCCAATTTGAATGGGCAGGCTAGAAGCGCAAACTTAGCGCAAAGCTCTGGCGTGGCGATTGCGCTTTTCGGAAGAGGAGTACGTAATTCACACAGGCTATATAATTTCCTGTGGTTACCCATCTTATAATCGCAGACTATCATGTACACCCGCAGCCTGAAACGGTGCATTTTGACAGTGCGCGGGTTGAGTTCTTGGATTGACCATCCGTGGCTTCAGATTCATTTGCTTGGCGACAAGCACAATCTCTATAACCATTGGTAAAAAAAGATTTGGCAGCGCATGCTTGACGCAATTCTTCTGCTGTTGTATTTCAGTGAGTGACTTGAGTTAGATTTGATTACTGCAAATGAGAAAACGATAGCGAAGTCAGTAACCGGTGACAAATTCATATAGTGCCTTTAAGACTATTCAATGTCATTGTTTAGCGAGAGGTATCTTCGAAAACAACCAATTTGATGAATGTAGACGATGTAGACGTTGATGAATGTAGACAGCTTCTACAACTGAAGTTGCGAGCCTTACTGATATTTCGACAAAAGCTCTGCAGGCAATGGAAAACGGACTTATGGTCTTATAAGAAAAGGATCTTTCGTCAAAGTGGTCTTTCCGGATGATATACATATAGTTTTAAAAGGCATTAGATGCTGATTCTAGAGCCCTCCTTATCTGCGGAGCGCCTATGTGAAGGAGTATGAGCACGAGGAACAAAACTGATTGTAACGGTTGTGCAATTCTCACATATGGAATAGTATTGAGTATGAATATGGCAAACAGAAATTGTTCTCTGCGCCGAGTGATTTGAGAGACATCACTGCTCCATTTCAGCTCACAGAAAACTGTGATTGCTTGCTTCTTCCCAAGCCTTCAGATCCTCGCCAAACTTTCAATTCTTTGCCTAGAGGACCTCCGCGGATAAGGAGAACAAACTTGGAATCAGCGTTTTATGCCCTTCACCAAAAAGGCCACTAAGGATCCTTCCTCGGCTAGTTGCGGATGGTATACAAAAGCTACCTCCAGAAGAGCTCGGCGAGGATGTGATCAGTTGCACATATATATAGTCGTCCTCACCCCACTAGTCGGTCGGTGGACGCATTCGAATTCGAATTGGAGCAAGCAGGCCACGGCAGAGCACGGCACCTTAGCTCTCCGTTCAAATTCACGCATTCACTTTGCGTATTTCTTCGCCATTGCTTAGCAGTTTTTGTATTATTACAACTTTTTGACCTATATTGAGTTTTTGTAATTGCTGAGCGTTGCCTCCTGCCGCGCTCTGCCGTGACAGGCCTGCTCCAATTCAAATTTGAATTCGTCTACCGACCGACTAGTGGGGTGAGGGCGACT